CTGCTCGTGGGAGCTCAGCTCTCCTGCCTCCTGCTCTCCTGTGAAGCAGGATATGACTGAGCTGGAAAAGAGATATCCCAGAATGACTTCCTAGAGGGATATCCCACCCTGAAAGGAGAGGACACAGCTCAGTGTTCCATGCAAACATGAAGAGGAACATCTCCCCTCCCCTCAGCTCCACTTTTCTCTCTTTCACAGGGCATCTATCGAGTCAATGGTGTCAAGACTCGCGTGGAGAAGCTCTGCCAGGCCTTTGAGAATGGGAAGGAGCTGGTGGAGCTGTCCCAGGCCTCCCCCCACGACATCAGCAACGTCCTAAAGCTCTACCTGAGACAGGTAAGGTGCTGGTGGTCCCTCCTGTGGTGGGAGGGAGGGGAGGTGGCCAGAGGAACCAACCTGGCAGGAGGAATTCTGCACAAGGCAGGCTCCATAGGCGGGTGGGTGGGTGCAGAGGGGCCCCTCCCAGCAGGATGGGGTTGGCTGTGGAGATGGGGCCACAGTGACCCCCCCAGCTCAGCCCTCCGTGCGTCACAGCGGCCACAGCCACAACAGCGACTGCAGCACCCAACCCTCCACCCCTCCCAAAAGGGGAACTGGGTACCCAAAAAGGGGAAGGGACCCAGCAAAGGTCACCCTGCACAGGCTGAGTCACGTCCCCTTGGGGTGGGCTCTGCCCCTCGGGTCACCCTGGGCTGGGCTCAGTGGGGGCTCTGCCCTGGGGTCCCCCCCGGCACTGTTGCCCAGGCACCCCCTCCCTGCACCCAAACTGTCAGTGCAAGCAGCATCACCACATCCTCCAGCAGTCACCACAAGGCAGGAGGAGCGGAAGCTGCTTCTCCCTCACAGGCAGCCGGGGATTAACTCTTTCTGTGCTGCCTTTCTCTGCTGTAACCTCTCTGTGTTACATCACGAGGGGGGGGTCGTGTCCCTGGGCTCCTCCACACCGGGAGCGAAGGTTCTGAGATGCCTCTGTGGTTTCTCCAAAGAAAAGTGGAGTGGAACAAGAGGGGGAACTCAGCCCCGAGCCCTGACCCGACCCCTCACTGCAGATAAATGGGTTAAAGTCCCTCTGCAAAGGGCTGGCTGGAGGGAACCTCCTCTGCTTCGAGGCAGCCTGTCCCCAAAACATCCGTTTAAACCACTCTGAAAACATCACCAGCCATGTGGAACACCCAGCAGTCAACACCAGCTCCGGCTGCTTCACACGAACTTCAAAGCAGAGTTTCCCCTGCCACAGCCCCACCTTCACCCCGGGCTGTGCCCTTCACATCCTGTGCCCTTCACATCCTGCCTTTCCCCCCCAGAACAACCCATCCCTGTCCTCTTCCCAGCCACATTCTGTCCGCTGGGGAACCTGCTGCTGAGCCCACCCCACCCAGAGCTTATCCAAGTAAAAAAAGGGAATCACTGCACCTCAACCCAGCAAGGAGCACCCACAGGTGGATCAAAGGCTGGGTTTGGCTTGAACTTCACAAGCGCTCCCTGGCCAGGACTAGCAAGGCTGGATTGACACACTCCAGGAGATGGATAAATAAACATTCCCTGGGGGTAGAGGGTTTGCAGCACTGGGAGTCACAGGCTCGTGGAATTATGGAATGGAAGGGATGTTAAAGCTCCTCCTGTTCCACCCCCTGCCCGTGGGGGCACTTCCAGGGGTGTTTCCTCACTGAAAGGCCCCAGGTGTCCCCAGCTCAGCACAGCTCTGGGTCTGAGGAGGTGGGAGCTCCTCCTGGCACTGGGATCGTGTCCCCTCTTGTCTCTGCAGCTGCCGGAGCCGCTGATGCCGTTCCGGCTGTACAACCAGCTGATGGGGCTGGCCAAGGAGAGCCTGCAGGGAGAGGCCAAGGGCCGGGGCGGGAAGGGCGGCCCCGAGCTGGTGGACAGAGGAGCCGACACCGACCGGGTGGTGCTGAGCCTGGTGCTGAAGCTGAGGGAGCTGCTGAAGGAGCTTCCCTGCGAGAACATGGCCACGCTCCAGTACCTCCTGCAGCACCTGAGGAGGTGAGAGGGGCAGGGCCAGAGCCCCTGGGGGTGCTGGGACCCTTCCCTTTCTTCCCTGGGGCGGGGAGGTGAGTGCAGCCTCCCAGAGCAGGGAAGCAGGTTCACGGCTGCAGCTGCTTCTCTCGCTTTGATGAGGCTCATGCTCCAGCCCAGCGCCTCCCCCAGCCCTTCCCAGCCACCCTTCTCACTCCTTGCTATCACAAGTTCCTCCTCCTCCTCCCCAGGATCATGGAAGTGGAGCAGGACAACAAGATGACCTCAGGCAACCTGGGCATTGTCTTTGGGCCAACGCTGATGCGCCCCAGGCCCACGGACGCCACGATTTCCTTGTCCTCACTGGTGGATTATCCCCACCAAGCTCGTATCATCGAGGCCCTCATCATCTTCTACCCCACCATCTTTGAGCACAAGGAGGTGGCGGCGCTGGCCGAGCCCGGCAGGCGCGGCTCAGGCGCCACAGAGGAGGTGGGAATCTCCAGGGAGGGGACATTCCACGATGTTCTCTGGAGCCAAGTCCCAGGGAATGAGAACTCCTCCCCTCCGTGCCCTCACCACCATCCCTCTCCCTCCCAGGCCCACGCAGGCTCCCAGCCCACGGCCGCCCCCAGCACTGCCCCTTACCTGGACCTGCCTTCAGAGAAGGGGAATTTGGCTTTCAGTGCCGACTCGCTCGCAGGTCAGTGAAGGGCACTGGGGGCTCCTGGTGGGCACGGGTCCCTTGGGAGGCACAGGGGGCACACAGACCCTTCCCCTGCCCCGGGGACCCTGCACGAAGCTCCTGCCAGTGCCGGTGCTGGGCGGGAGCGTGGACGGGGCTCCTCCATCCCGCAGAGTCTGGTGAGCGCTCCGTGGACTCCGACTCGGAGCTGGAGGATGGGGGGGAGCCTCGGGCACAGCTGAGCAAGCAGGGCAGCGAGACCAGCACGGACGACGCTCCGTTCTGCGACGAGGGGAGCGAGGGGCCGCGGAGCCGGAGCTGCAGCGCGGGCCAGTCGGACGTGGAGGGCTCCGGGCCCCGCTGCTGCAGCCCCGGGGACGAGCAGAGCGACGCGGAGGAGCCCCCCGAGAGCCGCGGCCCCCCTGCCCCCGGGGACACCGCGAGCCAGCCCAGCACCCCCGTGGGTGCCAGGGGCCACCGGCTCATCTGAGCCACCGGACAGAACCACGGCTGGGATGGGCAAAGGGAAAGCCCCAGAGACTGCCCAGACACAGAAAGCTGGGGTGTGGAGGGGTGGGAGGGATGCTCAGAGCTGCAGTGGCCAGGGGGGTTTGGTGTGTCAGCTGCAGGCCAGTCCTGGCTGGTTCCTGGCTGGAGCTCTCACACAAAACCCCCGAGCCCCCCAGCTCCCGGCAGGCCCGTGGGGGCACAGCCTGCCAGGACCTGGCTCAGCCTGGCAGCCGTGAGGCACCTGCTCTGGCAGCCAAGGGCAGACCCTCCTTGTGTGCTTGTTCAGGACTGGGAAGGAACCCAGGGCTGTGGCTGTGCCAGGTGTTTTATTTTTGCTGTGCTCTGGAATCCCTGGATGCTGCAGAGATGGAGGTCAGATGAGTCAAAGGACTGGCTCATCCTTGATGGCCGAGGCTGGAAGGGAGCCTGGAGCCCAGGGTGGATTTCGTGCCCCAAAGCCACCAGGGCTCCCCTGTTACCAGCTGACGGTGTCTGCATTGCTGCTTGGATCAATGGGCATTTGGATCGATGGGCATTTGGATCGATGGGCATTTGGATCGATGGGCATTTCTCTCCTTGGCAGGAGCCATGCCAAGAGCAGCCCCAGGCCGTGGCTGGGCTCAGTGGCAGGTTGGCCTGGCTGCAGGGTCCTGAGCACTGCTGAGCTCTCAGGGGGTTGGTTTGACAGTCATTTGGTCTCCAAGGAGCTGCACTGCACATCCAGGACTAACCCTCTGCTCTTGGAGCTGGGCACGGAGCAGATCCCCACGGAGAGATGATGTTCCCTCCTCAGGGCCACAACATCCCAAATCCATCCCCAGCCCTGGCCAGTATAATCTTGAGCTTCCTTTTCTGTAAAGAGATGAATCAACCCTTCAACACGACTCCACTACCTCTGCTGGCAAAGGGACTAAAGCCAAAGTGGGTATTTTTTTGAAGCTACGAGACTTTTCTGCACTGAGGCACAGAGAGACAAGTCGATTTTTAGCTTGGAATGAGCTGAGAGCCATTTCCTCCCGTTGCCCTGCCTGGGGTGCTGCGGGGTGATGGGCCTGAGCCCCCCAGGGCCGATGGAGACACAGCTCGGCAAAGGTACAGAACCCCAGGGGAGCTCCCAGGGAACTGGTTTGGAACTGAGCCAGGGAAGAGCTGGAGACCCCCTCGAGAGCTGTGGCTGCCCCCCAGCTTTCCCACAGGCCATTCCCAGGGCAGCAGGGGGGCTGGGGGTGCTGCCAGGCGGTACCGTGTGCGTGTGTGAGGGTGGGTGAGGATGAGTGTGAGTGAGGGAAGGGTGAAGGCTGTGCTTGAGCTTCCCAGGGCCACAGCTGCCTCCTGGCTGTGTCCCTCCGGTGTTTGTCCTGCTGCTGCTCGGCGCTGCGTCCCGTCCTCGCTGCGTTCGCATGGACAGGCTTCCAAAAAACAAATAAAATCCGTGTGTTCAACCCATGTCTGTCCTGGAGATCAGAGTTCCAGACTCCACCAGCTGTGGGAGGCCAAGCACTGCAAACATGAGTGTTCTGGCAGGAAAACTGATGTTTAAAGCCCCTCAGAGACCTGGGATGGATTAAAATGAGTGTGACTGGGGGTGGTGAGCGACTCTCCATCACGGGATCCAAACAGCAGGGTCCCAAACCAGGGCCAGAGGGCAGGAGATCAGGGAAGGAACAAGCTGAGTCTGAACTGCAGCACCCAAAGGGCAGCAGGGGAGAGCTCTGCAGGGCTCAGCCACGATGCAGAATGCAGCAGAGTCCCAGCAGGAACAGATTCCAAACACAATGAAAAATATGGGACTCAAGGCCTTGCCCCAGGTTGATGCTGAGCAACACCACAGCACTGAGGGTACAAACCTTTATTACAAACAAGAGCCCATGAAACAGGGAATCAAAGGCCTTTCCCACTTTCAGGACTCCATGGCTGAGTCTGGATGGGACTGAGGGGTTACACCAAAGTCCAAGCTGGAAAACAGGAGTGAGGCCCAGTGACAGGACTGCAGAGGCAAAGTGGGAAGAGGATTTCCTCAGCCACCTCTGGAAGGGCAGGAAGCTCCGAGTGCCTGTGAACTGCTGGTGGGAGGGGAGACTGGGAGGTGTCACACAACTCCTCACACCCTGAAGAGAGAGAACTGGGGATGTGAATGACCTCCCCACCCTGGCCAACCCCTCTGCAGAGCCCCCCGAACGCACAGAGGGCACAGCACCCTGAGATGAGCTCAGCTGGGCAGAGCACGGTGCTGATAATGCCCAGCTCCTGGGTTTGATCCCTGTGCAGCCCATTCACTTCAGAGCTGGACTCCACAACCTCGTGGGTCCCTTCCAGCTCAGAACCTTGTGATTCTGTGAGCAGGTGGCCGGGGAAGCCTCGCTCTGCTCTGCCCCAACAGCTCCCTCCACAAGCCATTCACAGCTCAGAGACACTTCCCTGGAAGCAGCTGCCTCACACTGACCCTGGAATACCCATCCAGCCCCCAGCCCTGCCCAGAGCCCCCAGCCCTTACCCACACTGGGGTCACTGCACCAGCCTGTAGGTGATGTACCGTCCTGCCGTCTCGCTCGGCCTGATGATCTTCACCACCTGCAGGGCCCACACAGAGCTCAGGACAGGGACACTCCCCTCCTGCTCCCAGAGCTCCAGAACACCCCCAAGGACCACCCCATCCCTGCCCTGGCACCAGGAGCTGCTGCCCCAGCCCCTTCCTCTCACCTGGCCGCGCTTTATCCCGAAGTACCGGGCCACGGGGTCCCCGGCCTGGATCCGGGGCAGCTGGTTCTCCCTCAGCTTGCTGAGCTGGGAGTCAAGGAGGAGCTCTGGACACGCTCATGGGACAGAGAGGAACTGTGGCAGGAAAGGGGGGGGTCAGCCCAAAATGTAACCATCCCTGAGCAGGAGGGAAGGACAGGCACAGGGAACCAAAGAGCCATCCAAGGGCCATCAAAGGATACTATCGGGCCAGCAGCTCTGTCACCTCCTCCTTGGTCATGACAACGTGCTCTGGGACCAGCTGCAAACACGGAAGAGGCCGAGATGAGCCAGGGACAGGGACCAGCCCCTCATACGGCTGGACACAACCCCCCACCCCGCTCACCTCGTGCTCAGTGATGTTGATCAGAAGCTCCTGCTGCAGGAACTGCTCCAGGATGTATTTGGGAGCCATGTCCACCAGGGACTGGAAGGGAAAGGCCTGTCAGAGGCAGCTGGGACAGCCCTGGCAGTGCCCAGAGCCACACCTGGGGTCAGCCTGTGCTCACACGGACACAGCCAGGCTGGGAATGAGCACATGTCCCGAGTGGGACACGGCCCCGTCCCCACGCACCTGCTTGGCCGAGGGGGTCATTCCCTGCTGCACCACGATCAGGGCCCGGGTGATGTTCTCCTCCTGCATGCGCTGGCAGTACATCTTGATCGTTTTGATCCCCACCTTGGGCTCCTCTGGGGAAGGAGCCACACGCGGGGTCACCCCTCTCCCCTCGAGGGGCTCTGCCCGCGCCCCGCCCGGGCCGGCGCCGCTCACCGGGGAAGAAGACGAACATCTGGTCGGTGGGGTCGTCGTTGTGAGCCACCAGCACGGTCAGGTCGGTGCGGCGGGGGCGGCCCTCGCTGGGCTTGTCCCCGAACTGGGCCTTGAACTCCTCCAGCGTCTGGTCCAGCTCGTCCTGGGTCACCAGGTACCCGCGGTCGTGGCAGAGCTGCGGGAGCAGCGCCGGGCTCAGGGCTCTGTCGCGGCCCCCGTCGGTGCTGGCCCGTCCCACCCCTCCGGTCCCGTCCCGTCCCACCCCCGGACCTGCATGATGGTCTTGCGGATCTTCCACAGCCGGTACGTCTCCTCCTCGTCGTCCATGCTGCCCGCTCAGGACCCTGCTGGCTGCCCGCGCTGCCGCCTGCCCTACGCACACAGGCGGGTGCCAGGGCGGCCGCGGGGGCCTCGGCCGCGGCGCCTGCTGGAAGATGTGGTCCGGTCCGGGCTGCCCCCGCCGCGGGGACCGCGGGCACCGGCGGGAACGGGAATCTCTCCACCGCCGCCGGGACGGGCCCCGGATCTCTACGGCCCGGCCCGGGAGGGACCTGCCGGTCGCGGGGCGGGGGGGTGTTTGCCTGACACGCCCCCCGCCCCGCGTGGTCGCGCCCAATAAACACCCCTGCGGCCACCCCGCCCGCCCCGCCTTCCCATTGGTTCAGCTGCCCGTCCATCACCCGGCCGGGCCGGCCCCGCGGGCGCTGATTGGCCGCGGCGGCGCGGGGGGCGGTGCCTGTGCAGGATGCGCTGGGGCCGGGCGGTGCGGGCCGCGCTGCGGGGCGGGGGAGCGGCGGCGGCGGCGGCGGCGGGAGCGCTGCGGGCACCGCTGCGGAGCATGGTGAGTGCGGGGGCTGCCCCGGGCCCGAGCGGGGGCCGCTCCCGGGGCTCCCCCGGGGGCGTGGGGCCGGCGGGGCGGGGTCGGGGGCGCGGACGGGGCTCCCCGCGGGCTCCCCGCTGACCCCCGCTCCGCAGTGCGCCCAGGCGGAGGACTGGCGCTCGGCCAGGGCCATCTACGACTTTCACGCGCTCGACATCGATGGCAACGACGTGTCCCTGGAGAAGTACCGGTAGGAGGGCAGGGCCGGGGGCGCGGGGCCGGGCGCGGCGGCCCTTGCATAACCCGGGAGCCGCCGCCGCGCCCCGGCGGGCGAGGGGCCTGTCCCGCTCACCCACCCCCTCGGCAGGGGCTGCGTCTGCATCATCACCAACGTCGCCTCCAAATGAGGGAAGACCGCGGTAAACTACACTCAGCTTGTTGACCTGCACGCCCGATACGCTGAGAGGGGTTTACGCATCCTGGGCTTTCCCTGCAACCAGTTCGGGAAGCAGGTGCGGGGGAGGGGACCGAGGGCTCCCCGGGAGTGTCAGGACGGCCTGGGGGCCCTCACGGTCCCGGTGTCGCCTCTCAGGAGCCCGGGGACAACGCTCAGATCAAGGCATTTGCTGAGAACTATGGAGTGAAGTTCGACATGTACAGCAAGATCGATGTGAACGGGGACGATGCCCACCCGCTCTGGAAGTGGATGAAGGAGCAGCCCAAAGGGAGGGGCACCCTGGGCAAGTGAGTGTGGCAGGGAGGGCTGGGCTCAGGGCCTGGCTGGGGCTGAGGAACCCGAGGAAGGGTTTCTCTGCCCAAAATTCACTCCTTGTTTTTCTCTCCTAGTGCAATAAAGTGGAACTTCACCAAGGTAGGACGCAGCTGCCTCCTCCGGGCTGTGCTGGGCACTGGGGAGCTGGGGGGTCCCCGAGGCAGGGAGGGGAGGGGGGAGCCTCACACCCGGGCTCTGCTCTGTGCTGTTACCCTGGATGTCAGGGCAGGAGCATCCCAAGGGGCTCCTGTGCTGAGAGACCCCTGGGAGCCCCTACCCCGCCCCAGGGTGCAGTAATCAGACACACTCCCTGGGAGCTCAGCTGACCCCTGGACTCACTCACGAGGTGTTGCTTCACTCCCCAGTTCCTCATTAACCGGGAGGGCCAAGTGGTGAAGAGGTACAGCCCGATGGAGGATCCCTACGTAAGTGTGGGGAGCAGCAGTGCTGGGGCGGGAGGAGGGGACGGACAGGGATGTTTTCGGGGCACAAACACTCCCTGTTCCCCGCAGGTGATCGAGAAGGACCTTCCTGCCTTCCTGTAGCTCCGCTCCGCTGTCCCCCCGCCCGCCCCGGCCCCGCTGCCCCCGGAGCCTCCTCCAGCCCCATGACGGGCTGCCCCCAAGCCAGGTCCTGGTGGGGCAGCCCTGACCCCGGCGTGCACCGCTGGACGGAGGCCCCGCGGCTGCGGCCGCCCCGGGCAGGAGCAGCCGGAGCCCTCTCGCAGTAACTGGAGACCCCTCGCAATAAAGACCTTAGGAACGAGCTCGTGCTGTTGGGGGAGGGAGCGGGGATGGGGCCGGGGCTGCTCCCGGTGAGAACCTGGAGCTTTGCTGGGAGCCAAAACCTTGCGTAACTCCTGAGCTCCTGAGCAGGGATAATCCCCGGGGCTGAGGGGGAAGTGCACACAAATCCTGCCTGAGCCATGCTCCTGAGGGGCTCCTTGGGAAAAGGCAAAGCAGGGGAAGGCATATGTCCCCTCTGGGATCCCTCTTGTCCCCAAGAGCTCTCCCAGCTGGCAAGGGCAGCAGAGGGGATGGGCCCAGCAGTGGCACATCCAGGAGCAATTTCTGTAAAACAGAACCATGTTGGAACACGGTGAATTAACCTCCCACAGCAAGTAGGACCATCCTCCTCCTGTCCCCAGGGCCTGGGGGGTGCTGGATCTCCCCTTCACACCTGCAGTCCCCCCAGGGAGTCTCATCCTCAGCAGGGATGGGAGGGAGCGGGAAGAGCCCCCGGGGTCTTCACTAAGGTCCCCCAAGTCTGACCCACCCCCTGTGCCTGCAGCCTGACACCTGAGGGATGCTGGAGAACCCCACTCTGGGGCAGGGGGGGCTGTTTTTGGGAGCTGTCCCCCAGCCTTGGCCCGGCTCACTCGCTGGGGCTCACCCTGTCCCACCTCCCCTGGGATAACAGGCCGGCAGTGCCTGGGCGAGACATCCCGGCAGCTCCTGGGGGAGGAACCCGACAAACAGAGGCTCCTTTATCTGTGTCTGCCCAGCAGAGCCGCCTCCTCAAGGCCAGAACCGCGGCTGATGCAGCAAGATCCTCCTCCTCAAGGGCAGCGGCTTCTCCCAGGGAGAGGGGGAGGCTTGGGGCTGCAGCCCTCAGTGCCACCGAGCTGACACAGGAGGGACAAAGTCCAGCTGCCAGCAGGACCCTGACCCAGGGATTCCTGATCCAAGTCCCACTGGCATCCTGGGGCAGGTTAGACAGACAGACAGACAGAGCTGGGACTTACAGAAATCTCACATGTGGCTTCTGTTCCATTTTTACTGAGCAGAATGAAAAATTATCCTTCTGAGGCAAGTAGAAAATTCAGGAATTATTAGTCCAAGGCACATATTCTAAAAAAATCTCTTTACATATGTACAACTCCATCAATTATAAATACACATAGAAACCAAAGGCAAACAACAAGCAGATTAAAAAGTGCCAACGAAAAGGTATCAGGGAAGAAAACAGGGACTCATTAAAAATACAATCAGTAGGACAACGGCAGAATAATTTAGTTAAAAGATAACATTACATATTATTAACCCTGACAAAACACAGGATTGAGGCAGGGAAGGGATTCGTTGAAGGTGCTCTGTGTCTTCCCAGAGACCAGGGAGGGAGGATTGCATATATTTTAAAGTTAAGGTCAAAGCCGCCAGGTAAGGCTCTGGCAGAGGGTGCCCAGTGGGGAGTTCCCCCTCGTTATTCCTGAGTTTCAGCCTCTCTGAGCTGCGTTTCCCTGGCGTCCTTTTCCCTCCTTGCCGAGAATTCAGCCCCAATGAGATCCGGGAGGTGCAGCTGGGGCCTCTGCCATGGCGAGGGCTGGGACGTGCTTTAAATAGGGGAGGGCGTGGGGAGGGGCAGCTGGCTCTGCCAGGGGACACTGCTGAGGGCGGCAGGAGCAGAGCTGGGGGAGAGCAGGGGGGCTCCCCCCATCTTTGGTGATCATTTTGAGGTAAAGGAGGTCTCCTTGGGTGCAGTGAAATGTGCCCCTGACAGCAGGGACTGACTCCAGCCCAGCAGGTGATCAGGGGAAAGTCCCAGGTCCCTCCCCTGGAAACATCCCACTGGCACTTTGAGGAAACACCTCGATGAGTGACAGCAGAGAAAGAACCCAGCAAAGGGGACGCTGGCAGAGAAGCAGCTCAAGGGAGGTGCTGCTGGAGAGGTGCAGGAGGTGGCCAAGGGCCAACTCTGTCCAGGGAGGAGGCAGCTGGTCCGGCTGTGGGAGGGGGGGGTGGGGCAGTGCTTGCAAAACAGCCCTTGCTCTTTGGTATCCGAGGGCCAGGTTGCAGCAGGAGCAGCCAAACTGAGCATCCCAGGCAGTGACACATCCCTGAGCAGTGACCCTGACACTGCACACCCTGAGCAGTGACTCCCAGATGCACACTCAGCTTTCACCAGGGACCTCTTCCCTTTCAGGGCCTGGGAGTGGCTGTTCCCAAGGTCAGCAGTGGCCAGGGCTGGGCTGCCCAGTACCAGACCCTCGGACTGGGGTCCCTGGCCCAGCCAAGGACAGTGCAGGACCAGCAGGACAGCCAGGTGAAGGGACAACATGTGACAGCAGGAAACTGGCCAAAGCAGGGCTGGTCACGGCGACCCGGCGAGGTTAAAGTGCAGGACAGGGGACACGTGGCCCTTCTGCTCTGGGGAATCCCACTGGTCCTGGCCTGGCTGAGCTCTGACAGACCCGAGCTCTGGCACCCTGGGGGTGCATCCAGCTCCAGCTCCAGCCTCTCCCACAGAGCTCAGCAGCCCAAGGTTCCTTCCCGGGAAGGGAAGGGCAGTGCAGGCAGTTTTGGATCTCTCAATACACTGGCTCAGCCCTACCTGAGGACAGCTGAGCTCAGCAGCTCCCAACTCCACTGGGACAGCATTCCCTTGCCCTCCATCCCAGCGCTCCAGCACAGGCTGGGGCAGCCCCAACTGGGGGCCTGAGCTCCCACCCTTCCCTAACGGACCAGCGCCAGTGACCGGGCGGTTCTGGAGCCCGGCTGTGGCCCCACAGAGCACTGGGCTGGAGGGCTGGGCAAGGCCTGGCCTGGCTGGGACACTCAGTAGTCTGTGGGGGTGGGCACAGGAGGGGGGGGTCTCCCCTCAGTCCCACACAGGCACTGACCTGCGAGCAGGACTTGACACAGCAGAGCCCCTCGGTCCAGCGGGACCCACTCTGCTCCCCCAGGCACATTCCACCCAAACCTGTTTCCTTCCTCAAAACCACAAAATGGTCAGTCCAAACCAGTAGGAAATTCAGGGCTCCTCAGCTCTCACCTCTGCACCAGAGGACGCAGATCCACAGCGGCCGAGCGCCGCTGGCATTCCCGGCTGGCACTCAGAACTCCAGGTGTGGCCCGCTGAACTGGATCACGCTCTGGCGCTCCGGGGGGAGCAGGTTCTCCTGGGGGAACGTCCTCAGCATGTCCTCCAGGATCTCTCTAAAATTGATACTCCCATCTTGATGGAGAAAATCCTCCTGTGGCTGCTGCAGGGGCGGCGGGGCTGGGGGCTGGTGCCGTGAGGGGCCGGGGGCCACCCCGCCCTCCAGGCCAAAGCAAAAGGGCAACTGGTGCTGCTGGTGGGGGTGCAGGGGGGGCTCCGAGGGGAAACAGAGCGCTCCAGGCTCCGGGTTCATCACCACGTCGGAAATGCTGTTGCTGGGAGGGCTGCAGGTCAAGTCCAGGATCTCGTCCTGGCACAGGGAGGGCAAGGACAGGGGCAGCCTGGGCCCCGGCAGGAGGGGCAGGGGCAGGGAGAAGGGTGGGCCCTGCTCCTGGGCCTGGAGCAGCCGGCTGTGCTTCCGCTTCACGTCCTCGTCCATCTGCTTCAGCTCCTCCCGCACCCTGTGGACACAGCTCTCGGGGATCTTTATCCCTGTGGGGGGAGCAGACATCAGTCCCCACGGCAGGGAAGGGATGGGGCACTCTGGGGTGTCGGAGGGCACAGGCCTGGCTCACACCCTCTGCCCGAACGCAGGGGTAACCCCAGCTCCCCTCCTGCCCGTGGGGCCACCTCAGCAGCGGGCGCTCCCAGGCTGGAACACGTCCCTTCTCAGGAAGGGAATCCTGGTGCTGGGCAGCTGGACCCCTTCATCCCATTCCCCCTCCCCTCCCCAGCACTTCACCCACCAACTTGCTTCTTCTTCTCCTTGGTCTTGAGGCGGACGATCTGCAGGTAGCTGCTGGCGGTGATGTCGGCCATGATGCCGGCGATCCTGCTCCACACCCGCAGCAGGGCCCCGCACAACATGTAGTAGTGCCGCAGGCGCATGCCCTGGAAGCACTCCTTCCCCTCCTGGATCAGCTTGCAGCTCTTGTTCCTTCAGTTATCCGGGGAGAAAACCACCGGGATTAGCACGGGCTCCTGGAGCAGAGGAGGTTCCCCCCCCCAGCCCCCCCCCACTGCCACAGCCAGGGACCCCCCGAGCAGAGGCCCTGCCTAGGGAGGGAGGATGTGGCTTCATGACTTCATGTTGAAAGAGGGGAGATTTAGATGGGATACAGGGAAGGAACTCCTCCCTGTGAGGGTGGGCAGGCCCTGGCCCAGGTTTCCCAGAGAAGCTGTGGCTGCCCCATCCCTGGCCGTGCCCAAGGCCAGGTTGGAGAGGGCTTGGAGCAACCTGGGACAGTGGAAGGTGTCCCTGCCACGGAACTGGATGGGCAGTATTTAAGGTGCCTTCCAACCCAAACCATCCCAGTGTTCTGTGGCAGGCTGGGGCTGCAGCTGCCTTACCACACGGCGTGGTTACAGTTCTTCAAGGAGAAGTGGTAGCTGCTCTCCCAGTGCTCCTTGGCTTCCTCGGGCACCACCTGCAGCACAGCACTCAGCGTTAGGGATTTTCCACTGCCCAACACCCAGTGGAGACGAGAAATCCGGGGCTGGGAGTCAGCATGTGCCATCCCTGCCCAACCACAACGGGATCCTGAGCAGCTGTGATGGGGTTAGAGGGAATGTCCTTCCAACCTCCCCCAGCCCACAGCCCCCTCGGCAGAGGCAGCAGCTCCCACCTACCCGCCGGTACTTCTTCTGCAGACTGTCCAGGCTCTCAGGCTGGCTTTGCTTCCCAATATTTGGCTTGTAGAGGATGAAGTTCTTCCCACGACTCTGCTCTGCCAGCAGACAGGTGTATTTGCTGCCTCGCATCTGTGGGGCACAGCTGATGGTTACAGTCACAGCCTCTCCACCCAGGCCCAGGTTTCTCTAAACTAACCCCTTCCTTCCTCGATGGAGGTTCTTGGAGGCATCTTCCAGCCTTCAGGCAGAGGTCAGACAGGGACCCCGTAGAGCCATGGCAGATCTCCCACTGGAGCCACCCCTGAGCTGAGGTGCCACCCTGGCAGAGCCCAGGGACGTACCTTGTAGGAGAGGTAGAACCCTTCATTGGCTCCTGTCAGTTTGAGCGACTTCTCATAAGCTTCTTCCCACTTTAAGCCTCTGTCGACGCTGATCTGAACAGGGACACACAGAGGGATTTGTAACTCCAGGGACAGGACAAGTGCCTCACAAATCCCACCCTCAGCACAACCTTGGTGCTGCTGCAGCCTAGAGCCAGGCAGAGCCAGGTGCCCACCTTGTAGAACACGACCTGCCCATCCTGCGGGTGCCCCGGGGTCAGGAAAACCTCCTTGCTCTCCTCATAGATCTCATCCACTCCTGGTGCTAAATCTGTGGAAGGAGAAAAGGCTGTTGTAAGGAAAACCCACCCAAACCACCCCCTTGGGTCTCAGGATCTGTGCTGGGTGGGGACACTGCAATGGGGAACCACCCTCAGCCAGCACAGGGAGGAACAGGGAACCCCTGGGGTGCAGGAGGCAGAGCTGTGGCCACCCCACCCTCTCCATACCAAGGATGCCCATGTCGTATTTGCCCTCCTTCTTGTCCTTCTCAATCAGATAGTCAAAGGTGTCAGAAAAATACTGGAAGAGCATGTTCTGCTTGTCCACCTCCAGGCCCAGGATGCGGTTCAGGAACTTGGTGATGGAGCAATCTGCAAGAGCACAGTGGGTCAGGGAACATGGTGCAGCTGGGCACAGAACCCACCGGCCCCCTCCAAAAGAGCCCCTCAACCAGCCCCACAGCGACCCTTCCAACAGCAGCCCAGCCCAAGGGCTGTTTCTGTGGGCTGGGAACAGCTTCAGGGCCATGGGATGTGTGGGGCCATGGGATCTGCAGCACAGGCTGCTCCCACAGGCCCTTCCCTTCAAGGCAAACACCCTGCCCAGCAAACCCCATGAGGCTGGGTGGGCCATGACACCCCCGCCCCTCCCATTTGCCCCCTGCTTTGGGCAGGAACAGCTTGACACGTACCCTTCTCCACCGAGACAGTGCCGTACTTCATCTGATTGCAGAAGACACCCACGGAGATGAGCCCTTGCTTCATTTCTGGAATGGCAGAAGACACTTTGTGTGTTTTGGGGTTAAGCCTCCCCTCAGCAGTCCTGTGGGGCTGTTCCCCTCCAGCAGTGCCCGCTGTTTGGCAGCTCAGCCTCTCTCTATGCCTGGCAGGACGATATCACCCTACTCACAGTGAGCTGCTGAGCCAGTGGCATTTTCCTCCCCCCGTTTCCTCTCTCTGACCTTCTCCTCAGCTCTTCCAGTGTCCCAAACCTGAGACTACCACGGCCAGGAGAAACCTCGGAGCTGGCAGTGTTCTTACCACGGAAGAAGTCGGCCTCCCGTCTCTCGTAGCTCTTGGGCACAGGAACTCTGTTCTCCATGTGGCTGAGGATTGTGGACAGGACCCTGTCCAGGGCTTTGGCCCCATACTGTGGGAGGAGACGAGAGTCACACATGGGAGGAACGGACACCAGAGTCCTCCCCTCAAACCTGGCTCCCGTGCCCGCAGGAGCAGCAGGAGCAGCAGGAGCTGGGTGCTAGGCAGGGCCCTGCCTGCAGGTGCCACCAATGATCTTCCCAGCTCTGATCCCACCACAGGCTCCCCCTCAGCCACGCTGCCCCAGAGCAGCCTTGTCACCTTGTTCTCGAAGTTGTACTTGCTGAGGTCCCTGGACTCGGTGGCCCGTCGGTCCCCGTGAGTTAAGGCACCCTGGGAAGGCAGGTGGAAGAAAACACGACTTTGAGCTGTTGCAAAACACCGGGGAAGGATGGTCAAAGGACAAAGGAAGAGGCCAGGCTGGGAATGTGCCATGAGGAGGCAGTGTCCTCAGGGATACTGAGACTTTACCAGAGGATTGGGGGATTTATCAGAAGTGAAGAAAATGAAACAAACCCATTATCCTAATAATTATTTCACCAGCTTTTTGGGAATAAAATGTACGCTCTGGTAATAGTGGGGGAATTCCAGCATCTGGAATTGAGTTATGCTTCCCTGATTTGATTACATATTCTTCCTCACTTCCTTTCCCAAATTCCAAGCTGCTAGAAGCCTTCTGCATTCCACAACTGCAATGCCTTCAGTCAGGGGTGACACAATCCCCCAGTTTCACTGGCCATGCCAGTAGGAGCCCCAGCACGAAATGTCCTCAGAGGGAGCTGGAGCCAACAGCAGATCCCTGCTGTGGGCACTCACCAGGCTCTCCAGGCGTTTGGCCACGATGGATGCAAACCTCCTCTCCCCTGCCAGCTCTGAGATCAGGAACACGTACTCTGGAGCAGAGACCTGGTTCGATCGGTGCGTTCGGCCTACGGGGACACGAGAACGGGGGTGGAAGGGGAGCTTGGGGTGGCCTGCCTAGAGCAGGAACATAACCAGAAAAGCCAAATAACACCCATCCTGCTCACCCTGCAGAGTCCCTCCTCTGCCCCACAGCTCAGGACTGTAAGCCCGGCTCTGCCAAGTCTCAGCAGCAACAGGGTGTGTGGCTGTGACTCTGTCCTTTGCCCACAGAGACACCTCCTAAATGCACCTGCCCGGCTGTGGCACGAGCCTGGCTCAGGCAGTCACCACACCCATCCCTCCCAGGGTGCCTGGGCCCCACGGGCTGGCTGACACTCAGGGGCAGTGCCCAGGGACACCCAGCCCTCACCGAACTGCTGGATGGCCCGGTCCGCGCTCCAGGGCAGCTCCAGGGTCATGTGCACCCGGCGCTTCTGGTTCTTCACCCGTCTGTCTGCTTGGAGGGAGATCCCTGAGCTGGAGGCCTCTGAGATGATGGCTACAAGCTACAGGAGAGACAAGTGAGAACAGAGTGAGGTTCCTGGACATGTGTGAAACTGCTTCAGGAAACAGGCCGAGCACAGGAGCAACCCCAGCGCACAGAGGGATCTGGGAATCCTTGCCAGCTTCCAGCAGGTCAAACCAACAGAAAGCTGCTGGCCTGAGGCTGGCGGGGCACAGGGATGCACAGGCACCCTCCCTGCCCTGTCCTACTCACCTTCTCCCCGTTCATGAAGCGCTCCTTCTCCTTCAGGTTGACGTGGTCTATGGACAGCCCCTGCTCCGCGCGGGACTCGAACACCACGGAGCCGTCGGGCCTGCGGACAACGCGGCCCTTCCTGCCCGTCATCTGCACACAGAGAGGGGCTGTGAGAGGGGGAGACCCCCACGGCCCAGCCAGCCAGCTCTCAACAGCTTTTCCATAGTGCCAGGGAGAGGAAACCCTCTGCCAGCAGGAACCTTATTGTTTAAAGGAAGAAATTCTTCCCTGTGAGGGTGGGCAGGCCCTGGCCCAGGTTTCCCAGAGAAGCTGTGGCTGCCCCACCCATGGAAGCGTCCAAGTCCAGGTTGGATAGAGCTTGGAGTAACCTGATCTAGCAGAAGATGTTCCTTTTCCCTATCACCCTGACACCAAAATACACTCCTCATGGTGGGGAGTACCTCAGCCACGTGCTCCGGGCCCCCGAAGTAATCAATCAGTTCATCCAAGGTGTTGAGAGGTAGCTCTTTGCCCAGTGCTTGCACTTTTGCCAGGAGGTCCTGCTTCATCTTTTCCACGATCTCCAGCTCTCTCAGGCCATGCAGCTCTTTATGGGAAGGCAGCATGTGAAAACCACCTGCAGTGTAAAAGACAAAAGTTGAGTTACTTGGTAACTGCAAATCAGAGAGGGGTAAGAGGTTGTCTCAGAGGGTTTCTGGGGGCACTATCGTGGGCAGAGACACTGTGACCTGCAGTAAATGCTGCTGGGCATGGAGTGAATTCCCTCTGGGCTTCCCCGTTTTGGTGTTGGAAGGACAATGGGCAAATCCCTCCTGCTCGCTGATTGCAGCAGGTAAATGCGGATCCACCTCAGAAACCCGAGTGTGACCATCAGTATAGAAACCAGCCAAGGTCACAAGGCTGTCCCAAGCCTGGAGGGGCTGCAATTCCCTGCAGGACCCACTGTCCCCAGCCCCAGTGCCCCCAGCCCCAGTGCCCCCAGCCCCACTGTCCCCAGCCCCAGTGCCCCCAGCCCCAGTGCCCCCAGCCCCAGTGCCCCCAGCCCCAGTGCCCCGCTCACCCTCGGCAGCACAGCCAGTGTAGGTTTGCTCCACGAAGATGACATCGTCAGTCTCGGCCAGGGACTCGGGGGAGGAGTTGATGTCGCTGGGCGAGTCGTCGGACTCGGTGCTGCTGTCGTCGCTGATCTTGATGACCCCTGGGTCACACAGGCCCCGCAAGGCCTTGGGCCACCGGCCCCTCGGCCGCCCTGCAGAGAGCGAGCGGGTCATGGCACCGGCCCCGGGGAGGCACCGGCGCAGGGCAGCAAGGGCCAGCACAGAGAGAGGAGGAGGAATCCCAAAATAGCTGGGACTGCCCCAAATGACAGGCTGACCTCGGAAAAACAGAGCCTCGGGGGTGGGGGGCAGGTAGGGAGGGAGAGCGGGAAGGAGAAAGGAAGAGAGAGAAAGGAAGAACAAGGCACTCCTGAGCAGGGCTGAAAGTTGGCTGCACATGTCAGGATGGACACGTGGCCGGCTCTGAGCAGTGCCAGCTCCTCAGAGAAGTAATCCCAGGGGACTGCTTCCAGAGGAGTGTGCAGGACATGGGAAGGTACCAGTGTTTCAGGACACTGTTTGCTTCCAAGCACAGCAAGACGTGCCCCCATGTGAGAGGGTTCACAGACCAGCTCCACAACCTGCCAGTGCTGCTGCCCCCTCTTCCTCCTTTTTCACATCCCACTAGAGGAGAAATCCCAAAACTCTTCTTACCTGCAGCCACAGCCAATAACTTGGCAGGGAAGTGGTTTTTTTTCCCCAGGACACATGCAATGCCCTGCGTAAGGTGTCATGGAGGAACCCCCTCGCTGCAGGAGGGTTTGGACACCAGCCAGGCCTTGTGCCATCTGCCCCAAGTTCAGGCTGAGGGGACAGGGCACAGCCACGGGGCAGGGGCAGAGGGCAGGCCCTGCACTGGGACAGGGCACTGGGGCACAAGTGAAGCAGGAGAAAGGTGGATGACCCAGACCTGCTGTCCTCTGGATGAAGGAGCAACAAAAGATGTGTGGGAGGGCAAACAGAAACCAAGGAGAGCAGCAAAAAGCATGGAGTGGGGAGAAGGGCAAGAGGCAGAGAACAAGTGAGTGGCTGGGGGGGAGCAGCAGGGCAGGAGGCTGGGAGTGAGGGAGCTCTTACGTTTTCTTTTAATGCCAGTTCCTTTTTCTCTCTTTCTTTTGGTTGAAGGAAAGTGCTTCTGAATTAGTGATAGAAAGACGCCTCTGAAAGTAAGATGCAAAATTTATTCCAGCTACCAGGAACACGTAACCAGTGTGTATTTGGGATAGCCCCACATTCCAGGAAGAGGGGTCAATCCTGCCCTATGGCTGCCAGCACAGGCTCAGCCAGCCCCAGATACAGCTCCTGGAGCCTGAGAGTGTGTCAAGGCTGCAGGACCTGTACACAGTAACCAAGAGGGAGCTTTAAACAGGAAACACTACACTGGGAAGCTGTTACATCAAAAATCCAGTAAGTCCCAGTGTCCAGCCTCTCTCCACACCCTGAGAGCACAGACCACCGCCGGGCCATCCAACAAATGTTCTCCACCAAGTCCTCTGATTCCCTGGCTGTGGGCCTGCTTCCCACAAAACCAAGTGGCAGAACAGGGATCCGTTGTGGTTTCAGGTGAATGGAAAAAAAATCAGAAAAATTAAAACCCAAAGGTTTCTGCGGGCTGTTCTACAAATCAAAGAGCAAATGTTTAAATGCTGACTGTGTGGATGAACACTCAGGGCAATGAGAAGGAGGTGCTGAACAAGCTCTGCTTGAAAAAAACCTAAAACCCCAAATGTTGCAAGGGACAGGTGAGAGGATGAACATGACAACTCCCCTAGGTGAGAAAAGAGAGCCTTGGGAACTGGGGAGGGAGCTCCAGGACCCTTAGGGTGAGGGGCTGAAGGGGACAAGGACCACACTGCTCCCCTGAGGGACAGAGCTCTGTCACTGCAGTTCTGTGGCACCAAGAATGGCCCCTTGCCCCTGCCCAAAAGAACACTCACTCTGGAGCCTCCCTGCTGTGCAATTCCTCTCATTTCCCGGCACTCGCCCTCCCTGTCTCCCTGCAGACAGAGCCCTGGGCTGGAATCCACTCACAGAACAATGTTTATTTTTAACCCCATTTCTCGGCATCTTTAACCAACCACTCCTTCCCAGCACACTGCCCTCCAGAAATCCCCCGAAGTGCTGGAACACCAGGACACACATTTGGAGGCTGAGCAGATGCCAGGAGACACTCAGTGATCCGGCCAGAGCTGAGGAACACAGAGTTCCTGCCTTTGGGGCCAGGGACAGTCACACAGTGTGGGACCCCCCGGCTGCAGGGACCACACTGTCCCCTACACCTGAGTTCTGTGACATGGAAACCCATCCAAGAGATCAAGAGACCAAATCACCCAAACAGCTGCCAGACCTGCCCTGTGCACTGTCACCAAACTGTGGTTTGGGCTGGAGACAGTGGAGTCACACAGACCAACCCAAACCCACCACCAAGGGAGGAGAGCTCGGCCTAACCCGGACACGCACGGCCTCTGGCATCTCTCACTGCTCCCACCTGCATCAAAAGTCACTGCAGAAGAAAACAGCCCTGAACTACAAAGGAAACACAACCCAACCCCCTGTCCCAGGCTTTTGTCACCCATTGTGCAGGTTCAGCCTGGGGATGAAGCTGCAGGTTCAGGCTGGTGTTTTGGACGCTGCAGGCAGGAGGAGGAGCAGGAGCCTCACTCTGCTGAGTGGGCAGCACGAGTCCTGCTGCTGCCTCACCTCTGGCACAGCCAGCTCTGCTGTTAGCTGGGACGGCACACGACCAGGACACTGCTCCTGTCCCATACACGAGCTCAAAGCCAACACTGGTGGATCTGAACTCCTTGGACCACTCCTCCCTTGCCACCTCACAGCACCATCACCATTACAGGAGATTCTCTTGCTCCTTCCTTTCGTGTCAACACCCTCCTTTTCCAGAACCTGACACACACAAACTACATCTGAGCTCCATTCCTGGCTCCCCTACACCTGCCAATTCTTTTACTTGAGTAGAGAGTGGGATCGAGCTGTTCCTGTAAGTCTGGACCACAGGAGACTTTGAAATTCAGGATGTAGCTCATACAGCCCCACTGAAGATACAGAGCCCCCTGGACCCCCCTGAGTGTCCTCTCCACAGTACAGGGGGAGGTGACATCAAACTGCATTTGAAGAACAGCCAGTGTTCCGTGCAGGAGCTTTCCTCCCACTCCTCTGGCCTCCCACGCACCCCCAGAGGAAAGCAGGGATTTTTAACTCACTCTGCAGCAGAGACGAAGCGGTTGAGGTGCCCATCGTTCTCGTCCAGGACCTCCCTGGTGCGAGCCTCCCCCGTGGACTGCAGGCCGATGACGATGCACTGCGGGGACACGAGGAGTGGCACAGGGAGGCGTCAGGGCAGGGGCACAGCTACAGGCTCAAGAGGCATTTCCCAGACCCAGGTACTCCCCTTGAACCCTGTACCAAAATAGATCCAAGCTGGGCCCATGGCAGGGCTCCCAATGAAGAACCATCTCTCAAATCTTTCAGCATCCAACAGCCCCCTGTGCTGACCCCACAGAGGGTGACTCTGAGCACAGACCTGTGCTAGGGATTTTCTGCCTGAAATTTCCAAGGTGCACCCAGGTGGATGAAAGGACAGAGCTGTGCTCAAGGTGAAGGGTCTGATATCTCTTCTAGAATCCCTGGATGGTTTGGGTTGGAAAGGACCTTAAAGCTCATCCAGTCCCACCCTCTTCCATGGGCAGGGACACCGTGCACTGGACCAGGTTGCTCCAAGCCCCATCCAACCTGGCTGTGAACACTTTCAGCTTGAACGTGACCCAAAATCCCGTCCCAGACCAGCCTGCCCACATCCACCATGCACCAAGAGAGGGTAATGCCTGGGGGAGGAGGCCACGTTAACTCCCCAGCATCATTCACTGGGAATGCCCTGTGAAACCTGGGCACAGAGATGACGTGCCAGGTCAGGGTGGTACCTTGTCCCTGGCCAGCTCCTCCCGGGCCAGCTCCACGAGCCGCCGCACCTTGGCAGCGATGCACAGGTACTTGAAGAAGCGCTGGTGAGCCGACCAGAACTGACCCCACAGCGACTTGCGAGACTCCAGCCCGATGCAGTCGGCTGCCTGCTGGAACACCATCAAGGCCTCTGCCCACTGCAGACGACAGCGAGGGGCATGAGTTAATATCCTCATTTCCACTGCCATTCCTGCCGTGCAGGAGGTGAGCAGAACAGTCTGCGGGCTGATAATCTGCTTTAGGATCAGTGTTTATGTTGCTGTGCTGGGCTGAATGAATGCTCTGGTCATTCTCTGCATCAGCAGGACACAGCTCTGGTTTGCAAATAGGGAACTTTCAATCAGAAGCAAAAAAGTATAAGGTGGTGGGTTTTTTTTACATCAGCTGAGCATCGTGTACCCCTTTTCTTTCTTATGTTTCAGGTCATGGCCACATTCAGGGTCCTCAAACCCTCCCACATACCAGTGGCCATGCCCAAAGCACGGGTGAACTTCAGCCTCCCACTACAACGGGCCCAGCTCACCAGCTTGGCTGCCTTGTCATAGACAGCCTTGTACTGCTCATCCAGCGGGATCTCCTCGATCCTGAAGGTCACTCCAGTGAAGCTGAGCTGCCTGGCAATGTACATCCCACTGACCTTCATGTCCATCGCCACGATCTCCATCGCTCCGACCCCCCTGGGAGAGGGCGACAATTGTGGGACTCAGCACTGACCCCCAGCACTGACCCCCCAGCACTGACCCCCCAGCCCCTCCCCTGGCTCACGCTGCCCACACCACCCTCGGGCACTGCACCCATGTCCCCCACCTCGGCCTGCCCGGGGCTGGGCAGGACTCACCTCTTCTCAATCGCATGCAGGAACTCGTCGAAGGCTCGGAACGGGGTCCCCTCCCCCCAGATCCCCAGGCGGCTCATGTAAATCATGTTTTTTGGCTCCGAGGCACCTGTTTGGGCAGAATTCACTGTCAGCAAACCCACAGCACATGGGAATAGTTGTGACTCAAGTGAAGAGAACTCTGAAGAGGTTGGCATTTGCCATTGTGCCTTAGGAGACCTTTCCAAACCTCGCCCTCCCTACACTGAGCGGGCAAGTGTGACCACACAGCTGGCCAGGAACAAGTTAAACTGGAGAGAAATTAGTCTGACCTGCCAAAAAGCTACAAGTAACATCAGTGATGGGCCTTGGGGCAGATCTTGGCTCTCTGAGCCTTGCAGCACCACTCTTCACACCCACACCCTGAGCAGAGGAGCTCACCTGTGGCACTGGCATAGACCACCCTTGCTTGAGGCAGCTTGTTCTGCAGGTCCAGCACTGCTTTGCCCATTTTGGTAGAGCTGGCGTTTTTGGCTTTGTGGCATTCATCAAACACAATCTGCAGCAGAATATCAGTTAAGGAGAAAGGATCTATTTGCATCCCGAGGATGGGAGCAGACAGAAAATACAGCCAAGCCGCCTTCATCCAACCAAACACCCTGTCCTGGTAGGGACCCACTCGTTCCCCACACATGGAATATGCTGGCTTTGCCCACTCCTCTGCTCCTCACACCCTAACTCATCTCTGCCTCCCTTTCTCTTCATCTCCAAGGTGTGTTTTGTCTTGTAATGCTGAGGGAGAGGAATGTGAAAAGGTTAATCCCAGCTGCTTCTTCCCCTCCTCCCTTTAACTGCACCCTGGGAGGAGGAGGAGATCGAGTGTGGGGGATTCATGTGCTCACAGCACTAAAATATCTCCCGCAGGCACCGGGCTGCTCCCACAGCAGCTCCCTGTGACTTCAGATGGCCCCGAGCTCATTGTGCTTCCTAGTGAAGCACAATCATAGGCAGCAGTTCCCCTCTCTCCACTTTTTGACTGTTGGAGGTTTTTTTAAGGATACAACTCCATCAAAGTTCTCCCTGCACCAGTCCAAAATCTGCTTTAGGCGCGTCCTGTGCTGTCCCCCGGCCTGGCTTTCGCCGATCAGCGCCGAGTAGGTGGCAAAGAGGACTCCTTCTGAGGTAGCTGTGTCACCGTATTTAATCTGCAGGGAGGAAGAACCAGAGCACACACACTCGTCATCACTGTCCCCAGCAGGTCACACCCCCCTGCCCACAGCCATGCTGGACACACGCTCCTGATCCCAGAACAAACCCCAGCCTGAGCTCAGAACAGGCAAAAAGCTGTCAGTAGCTGATGCTGTTGGCATTTCTATTGGCACTGAGACAGGGTGATGACAGGGACTGTAAATGTCTGGAGAAGTGCCCCAGCCAATGTGTCAGCACATCTGGACGCCCGCAGTGAACTGTGGGGACCATGTGAGGATGTCGATTTTCTGGCAAAAAAAGTGCTTCGTTTTTTTAAGCAACAGTTTAGAGTGTTTCATGGATTCAATTCCTTCCAGAAAATCATTTTCTCTTTGACCAGGTGAGATTGCTGCCCATGGGTCCCACCTCTAATGAAATCCACGGTAGGGGAAAAACCCCTAGTCCCAAGCTGAAGAACATTCCATTTAAAGTCTTTTGGGGCTGAAAACAAAATCCCTTTCAGTCTCTTATTGGAGGGCATTCAGAGGTGTCAAGCACCTGTGGTTTCTATGGACTTTGTTAAAAAAAGCTGTTTGTTCGATGCCATTTAAACCAGAGGAGAGGGTTTCAATGAACTGGAAAACACCGGACAGAGACTCAAGCAGGCCACAAAGAGCCAGCCCTGTTAATCATCACACAACTGCTGATGGTGCTTTTGAGAAACACTTCAGCCTCATCATTGAGTAACTGAAGAAAGCCTGAAAATCCTTTAATTTGCTCATCTGGGGGAAAGGCCCACATGCTCCATGGGTCTGCCAGGCACCAACCCAGGGAGCACCTCTGTGCTCCCTACATGCTCTGAGAAGCGGTTCCAAGAACCAGCACTGGCAAAGGCTGACCCAGAAGAGCAGAGCACATCTCACAGAGAGGTTCCCCCCACAGGATTCCTCAGGAATGGTCAAGGAGGCTCCCGTCCTGCTGTACTTGCACGTGCCTGCAGACACTTCCCACTCCCTGCAGGGAACAGCTCTGTGCTCCCCGTGCGGCTCCACAGGGTACGAAAATAGCTGGAGCCCCGAGTGGGAAGAGGGCTGGGAGGAGGGAACACAGGCAGCTCAGTGTCTGTGGCTGCAGAGGTGACACTGCCCCACATGCCCAGGCACAGCCTCCAACTGCTCCCATGGGCTGATTGCCAGAGCAGCCCTGCAGCTCCTCTCCTACCTTGTTCAGAGCATGCACAGGAATGTGGGAGGCCTCAATGTCCCTCAGGTCTCTCTCAGCATCGTACTTGAGATCATTGGAGACGCTGAACCTGCGAAGTGAGAGCAGGGTGGGTTATCTCCTCCTGGGGTTGGTTATCTCCCCCAGCAGTTGGGGCTGATTATGTCCCCCAGGAGCCAGGGCTGGGTATGTCCCCAGGCAGTCGAGGCTCACAGTGATTAACAGCTCTGACTAAAGCAGGAGGAGCTGTGCAGAGCTGTCACATCTCCACTGCCCACACACCCCAACCTGAGATCTGACAGCTGCCCCCTGGCACAGGCTGAGTGTGATCTGCAGCAAAGCCCCGTTCCTGGCTCTGCACCCAGGAAGCCCATGAACACCCCTGCAGACTCCAGAGAGTGGGGCCAGACTGCTCCTCACACCCCTGGGAGCACAAAACCTGCCATTTCACAGTGACTCATTCTCCATCCCTGCTGCAGGCAGAATATTCCCATTTCACAGGCAGCAAGAGGTGGAAACGACTTAACCAAGGCCACAGCATGACTCAACTCTAAAGCCAACATCAGCACTAAGGAATTCCTTACTTCTAGATCCAAATTAACTCCAAGGTCTTACGGGAAAAGAGAGGAAAAAAACCCAACAACTTACCACAGAGCTTTTTTCCTCCCTTTAAGATAATTTTCAAAGATGATGCCCGCAACGGTCCTGCCCTTTCCCACTCCGGCACCGTCCCCAATGAGGAACCCAGCTCGCTGCCCATTGGGCAATAAAACTTCGTGTTGCTGCAAAACCAAGAACAGGACTGGAAATTAAAAGAGATCTGCCTTTGCTAACAGCTCTGATGTGAGCACTGCTCAGCCCTTCCACACATCCCACCCATGCACATGCACGTCCTGCTCAGACAAACAATGGCAGGAAGGGTCAGGGGTCACGGCCAAGCTCACAAGTGGCACTCCATGGAGAGGGCCCCCAAAATGTACAGCTGTCCACAACAAAAGTCCAGGGTTCTTGCCTCTTTGGGAAACAGCCCCCACAGAAGTCCCTGACTTCAAATAATCCTTCGCAAGGCATTTAAAATGCCAAAGGAGTTTCATCACCTGAATTACAGTTATTTTACACCAGGTGAACACCTGTCCCTACCAGAGGGAGGTGCAGGAGATGGGCAAGGGGCAGGCAGTACCTGGCAGGCATAGATGATTGCTTCCAGCTGTAGTGCAGAGAGGGAGCCCTTGTCAGCCACGGAGCACGGCAGGGACAGGCTGTAGGTGATGTCAGGGGGGGGAACGCTGGACAGGGTACTCGTCTCAACCACCAGGTCAGGGTGGTGCTTCCCAATCTTGGCTAAATGACAACAGAACACAGGTAAGGTAAGGCCTTTGCTCCCAGGGGCACCTCAGGAGCTCTGCAGAGCTCATCAACTGGCTGCAGCCCTGGTCATGGCAGAGTTCTCCCAGAAAACCACAAGCCTGGGAGGTGCCACGGTGAACACCAGATACTGCTCACAGGAAATTAAGGGAGCAGTGAAACAGGCTGGCGACAATGGAGCAAACAGCACTTCCCATGGCAACACTCACACTTTGAAGGGATGTATTCTGCATAGGTCTCCGTTTGTCCCAACTCTTCCGTTTCTTCCTCCTCACCCTCGTCCTCCTCCTCTGCAGGAGCCTGAGACTGGAGAGGAGCATTGACCCAAGGTTAATGTTCTTGCTGAGCTATGCCCTCGTGCAGTGCTGTGCCCTGCCACTGAAACCACCCCCCAAACCCTCCAGACACAATCCATCTCATTTGCAGACTAAGGGAAACCACCAGTGGGAGCCCAGCCCAGGGGCTGCAAGAGCTGCCTGGTCCTCACCGAACTGGGGAAAGATGTTTGCAGCACTTTTTGGGTGGGCTGTGCTCTCACCTGCCCTGAGCGAGGCACCCAGCACAGCTTTAAACCAGCGTGGTGCCAGCAGCACAGGGCAAAGTCCTGAGAGCCCAAAGCGTCCCTTAACACAGTGAGGTGCCACCCCAGGACATACAACACACTTCTGTTTTCTTGTCTCATTCCCTCTGAAGAGAAAAGGGTCAGAACTGCTCCCCCCACGCTGGGATGTCCCCAGGAGCCTGGTGTCCCATCCCACTGAGGCCAACCATCGCTCTCACCTGGTAGCTGGTGAGGAGTGGGGTGTTGGGGACAGCAGGAACGTGGTCGTGGGAGCTATTCAGGCCAGGGAATGGTGTGCTGGATGAGAACAGCTGCAACACAAAGGGTGCAGGTGAGGAAAGGCTCCAAACCCTCAGCCCTCCGACCCCAGCAAGCACAGAAATACACCAACAAAGATCCTTGGACACGTGTGATCCCTGGACCATCCAGCCTGCTGTGCCACAGCCAGCAAGGACAGAGAGCTCCCAAGACACTCTGGGCAGGGAGGACTCAGGCAAGGAGATCCTTTGTCTGCTCCCACACAAACAAATTCACCCTGGAATTTCCCGACAGCGAGCAAGGTCAGGCCAGCAGCTCGTGGCATCCAAAGCAATCAGCAACTCCAGGAGCAGCACTACTCCAAGTTTACAGCCTGTGCAGAGTGCCAGGCTCACAGAGCCTCCTGCTCCACCAGCACCAGAGAAAGATGGGAAGATCTTAGGCATAAACACTCCTATTTTTAAATAAAATCAAAAAAAATAAAAAGAAGAAAGAAAAAAGCCACCCTCCATTCCTGGAAGCCTGAGTCAGAATTACCAGAAGGAAGCTGGACGGAAGAGCTGCTTTTGGTGCCAGCAAATCTGGAGAGCAGGTGAAACATCCCCACCTACAAATCCCAGCTCAGAGTTTGGTCTCAGGCAGGAGAAAGGCCTGGAGCTGCTGGAAGGGCAGGATGTGTTCTCGCAGCTCCAGCAGTAGGAGGTGAATGCAGGGCTGGTTTTGCATCACCCAATCCCCAAAGTACAAACCTCTGCTATCCCAATCCAGCTTTGGCACTCAGCATTCCACCCCAGGAATTGCAGAGGATGCAACAGGAACCTTGGTTGCTCAGAGCATTTGGAAACTACCCACACAGGTGAGAATGTGCTGTGAGTGCCAGAGCAGGTGGGATCAGGAGCTGCAGTGGGAGATGGATCATCCACCTGTACAATCCCTGCCTTTCTCCACCCCCCCTTCACCTCCCAGTTTGATTTTCTCCTCCCTCTGTGTTAAGGACATCCAGAGAAGAGGAACACAGATCCATGAGAACACAGGGCTGGAAGCAGGAGAGAGAGTGACAATTTCATAGTTACAGCCTCGGCCCTACTCCATTTTTTTCCTCTTTGCATTATTCTCCATTTTGTCCCACCTCCCTGGGAAAGGAATCAGTCCCATGTGGCTTCCAGGCCAAGTCCCCCTCTGTGTAAATCCCTTCCCTGGGTACTGAGCTGGGAGAAGGGTGAAGTGCTGTGAACAAGCTATAAAAACCTGCATGAGCAGCTCCAAAATTCCAGCCCCAGGCTTCCAAAGTAAGTCTGTGCTTCCCAGCCTTAAAACACTGGGAATGTGTGAGACGGATGAGAGAAAACACGACATGACAGGGACTATTTTTAAATGGTATTTCCCAACTCCATTACAAAGGAAACTGTTTTGTCTGCTGCTCCTGCAAATATTTCACAGGGTGGCAGCTCTTCCCTGACTGCCCATTGCTGAATGACAAACAGAGCCAACACACTGGATGCAGCTCCTTTCCTCGGGATAACAACTCTCCCCATGGGCACATGGACAGCTCTGCCTCCAGCCCTCTCCTCCTCAATCTTAACACCCCACTCCAGACTCAGCACTGGGCACCTCTCGGGCCAGGGGTTCCCAGGGAGCTTGGAATGTTTATTTTTAAAGAGGACAAGGCACAAGGCTGTTCCTGTACCTGGGATCCACAGGTGGGTCTCCCACAGGATGCATCCAGCTTGGCCCCTGGGATGTCCCACACATCAGAACTGTGAGAGACTGATGTTCCTGCTCTGCCTGGGTCTCTGAAACAGAAATTCTGGAAAAACTGCAGTCCTGATAACGCAGCAGAGCTGGGTCAGAGCTGGCTGCACAGCCCCAGCTGAGTGATGCCCTGGATCACACGGATCAGGATGAATCTGCCCGGGTGTAACATGACTGAGGTTCCATTTGTACTCTAGCTTAGTGACTGCTCTGGCTGCTGGCAAGCCAAAATTCCTGCAATTCTATGGAAAACTACACTGTGAGGATGTGGGAAGGGATAGGGAGAGATTATCCAAACTGCTGATACCGTGCACCAACGTGCAGCTGCCAACGATGAGTCAGTCTGACAATCCTTTCGCCCAGTGTCCAGGTCCACAGTGCCACCTCCACGCAAAAATGAAACCAAAATCTCCTGTCCAGGATGCACCTCCCTGACACCTCCTCAGGAAATATCACTCAGTTAAAAAGCAGCCCAAAAAGCAACGACCCCGCCCAAACCATCTCTGTCTCCAGAAAACACAGATAAGACAACGTCTAAAATAGCTGGAGATTCCTTTCCAAGGGAAGTTGTTTATAAATGGAATTCCAAGGAGCTAATTGGCCTTATCTGAGTCCAAGTGCTCCACAGGACAAAAGAGGCGAGGGCAGGACGTGAGGAACAGCACGGGAGAGAGACAGGGACAGGGCCAAGCTGGAGACACTGCAGTGCCCACTCGAGTCAGTCTCACACTTACACGATATTTATTTCTCCCTTGTTTTCTTTACAATGAATTTAGAAAACTGGGTGTTTTCCCTCGTTCTTCCTAAGAGAGTGACCTGCAGAGGGACCGGGATCCAGCGGATGTGGACGATGCGGCTCCAACAACCCCCGGAGGAGCTGGCTGCCCCGGTGCCCACGTCAGCCCCAGCTGAGGCAGAGCAGATGGCAGAGGGCTGGTGAACATGCCCAGGACCACATGGTGCTGTGGGATTGCCAGGAGATCCCACGCCCCGGAAAACTCCGGGATGTAAAAGCCTGCAGGGACTCGGACTCACAAAGTAAACACAAATGGTGAGTCTCAAGTTGAGACAGCTTTTCAGTCACTGTAACTGAAATATTTGCCCTGGAGAACAAACAAAAGGTGCTGCTGCTGTGGGGGGCAGTTAATGATCCATGTCAGGGTGGTTTTCCTGGAGCCCATCCCTTCAGCACTCCCGAGTGCCCTGTCCAGGTCACACTGGACCTGCTGAATGTTTTAGGGATACATCCTCCTCGGGATGTACCTCCCTGCCACAGCTGCCAGGAGAAAGAGCTGGTGCCTGCTAACAGCAGAACAGCATCGTCACACCTCAACTTCACCCCGAAGGAATTGGGTTGGTTTCTTAATTCCTTAAAACCCCCACAGGATGAAGCCTGAGGTGTCTCCTGTCTTCTGTGGAGGACGAGGGAGAAGCAGCCCCTACCTCGATGGGGTTGGGTGGCATGTTCACATCCCATAGTGTTGGCACGTGGTTCAGGCTGTCGGCGGACAGGAAGTCCTTGGGATCCGCGATGTCCGAGAGGGAATCCGCGGGGGACGAGAAGAGGGAGTTGTTGGAGAGCTCATCGAGGTATGAAGAATCCTGCAATGCAGACACAACCGTGGTTAGGGGAGGCAGGATGAGACCAGAGAGCTCCTTCCTCGCTCAGCCAGCAAGTTCTAATTTCTTGCTGTTGAATGAGCAGCCCCGTTACTTCACGCTCCACAAATCTCAGAGATTAACCTGAGGCTGAGGATACGCTCTGAGGTGCAGATTGAAAATCTGTTTCTTGAAAAAGCAGGGAAACCCCTGGCCAGGAGTACGGGTACACGGTCAGGGCTGACTCGGGCTGTGCACATCCCTGCACACAGAGGAGTGGGAGAGAGGCATTGTGCTGTTCCTGAGGGCTTCAGGCTGAGACCTGGGTCAGACACCCCCTAATTGCTATCAAAAATTACGGGTTTCAGTGTTTAAACCCCCAGGACACATTCCCTTCCCCTTTTCTCAGGGATGTCTCACTGGCCCCCTGAAGCCGCTGAGTGCAGGCACTGGCAGCGGTGCACGGAGGCACTGAAGGATTGGCAGGTGTGATGTTGGGGGTTGGATTCCTCAAATACCAACCAGGGGACCCAGGAACTCAAGGAGCAAGGGCTGCCAGTGGGTCTGGCAGAGCAGGGTGGCACCTCCTGCCAGCAGCGGGTGCTGCCGTGTGCCCAAGGGGCAGCGCTTCCCGTGCAGCTCTTGATATTCCTGTGGCTATTTTGGGATTACCCAGAAAGCAAGCTGTCTGCAGAGTGAACAGGCATCCAGACTTATCACCTCAGAGTTAGGGGATCTCTGGACTCCGTTTCACACTTGGGAAAGCAGAACAACACTGGGGCGAACGCGGCCTCGTCCAGAGCGAGTGCCCTGTGCAGGATCCCATCTGGTCCCATCACTAAGACTCCTCTGAGCAGGGTTTGTTCACCTGCCAGTGGCACTGACAGAGGCTGGGTCAGGAGGAAACATCTGCACATCATGTCATGGCAGCAGGAGGGGCAGCCCAGAGCGGCCACTGCATGTCAGGGTCCCAAGGACAGGCAAAGGCTGGGCTGGAACAGCAGCAGGATCTGGGAAAGCCCTGTGACACCACCTGAGACACCCCAGCAAGTGTCCCCCACCACCTTCCCAAAGCCAGCCCCTTCCATCCCCATCGCTCAGGGCACTGGGCTGAGCTGGGAGGAGCAAACAAGCCTCCAAGGCAGAGGGAGGACAGTGCCAGTCCTGGAAGTGATGCAGTGATCCCATCCTCTCCCGGCATCTCAAAGCATTACTCACCAACTTCTAGAGTCTCCCATTTGTCTTAACTAATTGCATTATCTAAAGAGCACTAAAGTTAATCACCTGCCAGGTTCCCCACCCAAAGAACTTCCACCACCACAGCATTAATTGGCCCTGCTTCTATTAAACCCAGAGTAATTGCTTAACAAAAGGCCACAAATAACCACAACCAGTACAAACCATGCCTGGACTAATCACTCCACTGGTTTATCTGCCCCAAACTGGAGCAGCTGCCTTGGTGTCCTCAGGGAAAAAGAAGGATCATCACCCCAACCAAGAGCTCATGGTCAGGATCCTCAGGTGTGGGTTTTGGAACAAGTTATTTTGTCCCTCTTTCAGACTGTTTAATCAGAATTTTAAGGATTTCTCACTGGAAACACGAGGTTTTACAGGAACAGCACTTCTGTTTCAGTAGAAGTTGCATTTCTGCAACAGATGGAATTTGTCCTGCCAGGCGGGATTTTTATTTCAGATGTTTTTCCACCACGCTTCTCTCCATAAATCTTATTCCTGGAATTCGGCATCTCCGTGGCCTCCTCTGGACTGGGCCCAGCAGGTCCAGGCTGAGGACCCAGAGCTGGGGTCAGGGCTGCAGGTGGGTCTGGGAACAGAGGATGAACTGATGCTGCTGTGGCACATGGCATTCCTGTCATTATCCCAAAACTGAGATTATCAAACCCAACAACTCACTCCCTAAAAAAGATCAGGAAAAAATCAGAGTAAACCAGCCCAAACACTCGACCTTTATCCAAGCCCCTGGGAACAGCTCAGCTCCTTTGGTCAAAACAAAGTGTTAAAAATAATGACATAAATAAGTGATATAAATAAAAAAACCAAGCAGGTGAAGTCTAAATAAAGAAGGAACAAGCATTCTAAAAATATTTTTGGGCCATCAGTAGAAATGTTTTATTTTCTCACAATCCAGACTCTGAGGAAACAGTGTCTGCAGAGCAGCTCTGGATGACTGCACTGCACAGCACCCAGGTGAGAGGGGGTTTTATTAAAAACCAAAAAAACCCATCTATATACGCAAATACACACCCACAGCCACGCTGTCAGCAAGGAGAGATTTGGCACCTCAAAAATCACAGATTAAGCAAATTATGTTTCAGGAGCGACAGAACCAGCAGCTGCAGATGATCACTATAAAACCCTTTAGCTGCAAACCCCAAAGTTTTCCTTAATTCAGGACAACAAACTGGCAGTGGGGAGGGTTCAGCTCCGGCTGGCCAGTGTTCCCCTCGCTCCCTGCACCCAGCATCTGCTTCGGAAATAAAACCCCTTAAAGCCCTCACACCCACACAAACACACGGATCAGTTCCCACACAGCTCCTTCCCTCCAAATTCCACGCTCAGTGACAGAGTCCTGACCGACAGAACAACGTCCAGTAAGGCAGGTACCAGCAAAATATAAATCACTTCTTTAGGACAATAAATCTGTTCCCGGAGCCCAGCGTGGAGAGGCATCATTCCCAAACTCTGCTGCCACTGCAGAGCTCCCGGGGACACCCGCCCGGGGAGCAGCCGGGGCCGGCTGCCCTCGCAGCCAAACACGCCAGGGATTCCGAGGAGGAGGAAAAAAAAACCCAGGAAAAATCAGGCATTACCTTGAAGAGAGACGGGAACTTTAGCCAGAAGTGCATTTGGGACATTTTAGAGCAGCATTCGGGGGGCTGTCGGCGGCAGCAGCACGGGGAGGGTGCTCAGTGTAAAGTGAGGAAAGGTCCATTCACGGCCGGGGCTCATCGGGGGCTTTAAAAACCAACATTCGGCAGCCAGGAGGGAAAATGGAGGCAAAGGGCCCGGCAGAGCCGCTGTCCTGCGCCCGCAGATTTGCATAGAGTGTTTAGTCACGACGAGAGGGCTCTTACTTCCTCTAAGTCCAGGGCTGACTTTCAGGAAATGATGCCTGCTTGGTAAGTCAGTGAAATTACTGGCAGTGCGAGGAGAATTACTGTACGTGGTGTAATCCAACCACAGAGCTCAGTAAACAGCGCCGGGCTCCGCGGAGCCAGAGGGCTCCGGGCTCCCTCCCCGGCCACCAACCCCAGCCTGTGCCCCCCCCGCAGCCCCTGCTCTGGGCTGGGGTCCTGCCTGCCCGCCCGCCCTCCCCATTTCGGGGCTCAGATGAAGAGATCAAAGTGACAAAGCTCACGAGTGTTCCCACGCTGGTGTCCCCCCCAGAGCCATGTGCTCTCTTTGTCTTCGGTGCCTGCCCCACCCCAAACTGTGCCATTAGAAATCCAAAGGAGTGGCCATTCTCTTCCCTTTCCTCCCTAGATCACTTCCCAGGGATGTTGCCTTCTCTTTCCAAGGCTGTCCCCTTTAACAGTTCTGGTAACAGAAATAAGCAAAAATTCTGGTGGGGAACAGAAGGCACAAAAAGGGACACCCGAAAGGGAGGCAAGCTTAAGAAAGGTCTGCTCCACACCACCTGAGGCTGGAGGGGAAGGGAATCAGCCAGAGAACCCCCTGCCTGGCGGGAAATCCCTGAGAACTGTTGTGTTTGCACTGGGTGCAAGAGGCTCCTGTTTGCTCTGCCCTGGCATGGCCAGCAGTGGCCCCAGAGCCGGGCTCTGCCCGCGGGGTCAGTCCCAGTTCACCCAGCACACCCAGCAGCACACAGACCAGCACTGGGGACGGCCAGGGGAGCACTCACTGCTCTGAGTCTCTGTGTCCCTGCTCCTTCCACACACCCACGGCACAGCTCCAGGGGAACGCAGCTCTCGCTGTCACTGCTGATGGAAGTGCTCCTGGGGCCTCGTGCCGGGAACAGCTGGAAAATCCCACATTATGAGGCACTTCCCTAAAAACAAAGCTTTGGAGTGACAGAAGCCAGCCAAAGCCCTGGAGGCCCACGAGAGAGGCGAGCAGAAAATGGGGTGCTCTCCAACCCTCCAGGGAGACAGACCAGAGTGAGGGAAATCTGCTTTCTGCCATCGGATCCCTCCAAGGAAAACATGCTGGGTCCCAGAGCTGGAAAACTACCCCCAGGACAGAAACCTGCAGCGGGGCTCCTTTCCAAGGGCAGAACCCTCTGCAGCACTGTGGGTTCCACAGGGACTGTTACATCAGCAGTGAGGATCCACCTTCCATCCTGCAACATACCTCGTCCAGGAGGGCTTTTCCATAAGCAAATGGGAAAGAAAAACACCGGGGCAGGTGCTTTCAGCAACACATGTGGAGTGAAGAGGCCAAATTCATTTCTGCAATGTCTTAATTAGCGACTCGCTGGTGACCTTGACTGAACCACCACCTCCTGCTATTCCTGCCAACCTTTGGAAAAGCAGGTGGGTTATTTCCTCTTCCTTTTCTGTTAGTGAACAAATGGGGCAGACAAGAGCCCTGCAGTGGCACAGATAAGCAGGGCTGCTCATTGATTCTGCGGGACCACAGCGGTGTGATCACCGCGGGTGAGACAAACCACGGCGGAACCACCACCTGGGGAGAGGCCTCAGCAACCCTGCTCCCCAGTAACCCTGCTCCCCACACTCTACTCCCCACAGCCCCGTTCCCCACAGCCCTGCTCCCCACAGCCCCGTTCCCCACGGCCCTGCTCCCCACAGCCCCGCTCCCCACAGCCCCGCTCCCCACGGCCCCGCTCCCCACGGCCCAGCCAGGAGCTCGTGTGCTCACAGACAGGGACAGGGAAGCAGCATTACACTCCAGCACTCCCATCTGACTTCCCCCCTTCCAGCCAAACCCGCTGCACAGCCCAGGGAGTTGCTGTGCTGGGGAACCTTCGGCACCCCCTGACTCAGACCAACCCTCCTTTCAATTAAAGCATCTATTTTAAGCCATGTCCCCGTGGTCTGCCGTTGGATTCTACTGCCATCACTTTTAAGAGCACTGAGCGTTTCAGAGCGGCTTTTCCCGCTTTTGTTGGCTTTGGGAAGGGAGGAGGCAGGCACAGCCCCTGCCAAGAACCTCAGAAGGCAGATCTCCATCCCCTCATGCCCGAAGTGGACATCGCTGCTTGGAGGCAGCAACACAGATGAAAACTACCAGGACTGGAATGGGGGGGGATGTCTGAGCCCTCCAGGCTCCTTTACCCCCTCCCCAGGGCTCAGCTGGCTCCTGCAACCCACAGCCAAGCACGACTGCCAACAGATTATACCTCAAAAGCCAAATTCCTCTCCCTTAACCACAGGTATCTCCACCTGAGACAGCCCCAAGAGCTCCTCCTACACGCAGAAGGGAAAGATTTGCTCTCAAGGCACAGCTCATCCAACCAAAAGGAGACACTGTTTTGGAGTAACATCAGCTGGTCTCCTGTTCCCGGGGATCAGCTCAGGGTGCCTCCATCGGAGCACCCCGAGCACTCAGTCAGTGCACTGTGAGCAGGTACAACCACAGCCCTCACTTTCCTTACCCCGGGCCAGCAGGAAGTGTCAGGCACCTCACCCAGAGGGTTTATGAAGTGCTGCTACACCAGCCCAAACCCCCAGCCCGCAGTGCAAAGACAGACACGAGCACGTAAGGCCACTTGTTCTTCCAAGGCCTCCGAGCCAGGTGACTGCCTGCAAATGCATTTTAATGCCTGTGTTCCCTGCAGACATAACTCCAGGACAGCGACACAAGTTCCAGGATGTTTCTTATTCCAGGAAACTCTTCGTTTCAGCCACAACCAAGTCTTCCATGTAATTTAATAACTGTTACATTGATTTCTCCTAAATCACCACAGCTCTGTGTACCGAAGCACTTCTAAAAATTAATACTTTTTTTAAGAGCGGGGTCATTTCTCCCCCTGTTTTAACAAGGAAGATTAACAGGAGATTGCAAGGGGCTGGTGGTGAGGAGAGGGCTGGTTTATGATTAACATGCACGGTCAGGAGCCCCCATCCAGCACAAACAGGGCTGTAACTGCACCTTTACAGCGTTACTGCAGGTGACTCTGCCCAGGAGCAGCCAATTCCTCCTGCACCGCAGGAAAAAAATCCATCTGGCCTGACCTCCTTCCCCCAGCCCAAGTACAGTTCACATGTGAAGCAGACCCGAGTTCCTGCCACAGGAGGTTCTGCAGAGCCCCTCACACCCCCGCTGTGTCCCCAGCATCTCCTGCCCTGGAGCTGCTCCCTCTCCCACTCCCCCTCCCGGGGTTATTTCTCAGTGTACCTCAGGGCAGACAAAGTCAGCAGAGGAGGTTTCTGTGCGTTCAGCAAAGTCCTGTTCTGGAGCCACAAGTCACAAGAAATTAAGCAAAGGGAACACAGACTATCAGCAACAGGCAGGGCCATCAGAGATAACAGGGGGCTCAGAGGAACTGCAGAGTCTGTGCTCTCAGGAATTCTAAACTGCCCAGAACAGTGAAGTTAAAGAAAAATCTGCACTGACATGGTAAAAGTGCCTTGGCAAAATTACTGCCCACGAGCGCTGGATCCCACGTCAGCAGCACCTGAGACTGGAGGGATACTCAGCAGGAAGGGAGGGAAGCAACGGAACCCAAACCCTGCTTCTCTCAGGACTGTGATTTCCAAGGGCAGTCAGTAGACTTTTCCATGAGGAGATGGCACCACATGGTTGGGATGAGACTCTGGCTGAAGACAACAGTTCCCAAGACCAGAGGCACTGTCAGACCCCAGCATGGCCTCCCAGAACTATTTTCTGAACCTCCACTCAAGCCACTTGTTTATATAAAAAATGCCAATAGATCGGCAAGGATGAATCACCCAGGAGCAAGCCAGAACCCAAAATACTGGGGAGGAAACAAGTTCAAGTTCACATCAGGCTGTTCTGGCCTTTCCCTGAATACAGAGGTGACTGATCCAACCGAAGAGAAATTCCCAGAGCCATCAGAAAACGCGGCAACTGCCACTCTCAGCACCCCCAGGTCAGCAAAGGCTGGCTGGACCAGCTCACCATTCCACGGCATTGCCACTCCTACCACGGCAAGTTTGGAAAAGTCAGGTACTTTCCTGTACAGCCACCTGGAAGGATGGAGCCACCCAGCTGCTCCCACACCTCCTGGATGGCATGTTTCAGCTTTCCAGCTGGAATGTTCATATTTAACAGTGTTGGCATCTGGGACATCTGCCATAGGTGCAGTCCCCCTGCAGAAAGAGTCCAAGCAAAAGCCAATTGTCTAAAGCCACCTCACTCCCACCCATGGCTTCCTCTCCCAAAGGATGAGTGGCACAAGAATTACTGGCACAAGAACTATTTCTTGCTCTGGAAACCATTTGAGGTCATTCACACCTGGTTTGTCTCAGAGCCTCCTGCTCTTTTCCCACCCAGCCAACGCAAAACACCTCCTTTCCACAAAGAATCTCCAAAATTCTGCTCTCCCGAGCTGGCTGAGATCAGTTCCTGTGATGCAGCAGGGAAGGAAGCTGACTGACCACTGAGATACTAGAAAATACATAAGTTAAAGAAATAATTAAGCCCTTTTCCCGTTAAGCCCATCAGCCAAACTCCACCAGACCTGGAGGTGAGACCTATGGTAGGGACCTCTCTCCCCTTCCCATTGCAGGCCAGTAAATGGTCCCACAAGTTGATGAGATCACCTTTCTGCCTCGTTCCTCCCACAATTAATTCTGCAGGAGGCAGAGATCAATGCTACTACGATTCAATTATTTATCTGGTTTAATCCAGTCAGAAGACCCCGATCAGCACTCCTGGTGGCTGCCCAGACCTGCTGTGCCAGGCAGGTCCCTGATGAAAGGCATGAGGAGCTGCAGAGGGGGGACCACAGCAGTGGCCACCTCAGAAGGCACAAACACCCAGCAGCTGCATATCCAAACCAGCAGAAATTGGAGCCCCAAAGAGGGTTAAAGCCTCTCTTTAGCCATGCTGAGAAACCAAAAGCACCCTGAGGGGGAATTAACGCACACCCAGGCAGACACCAATGTCCCTATTAATTCCTAGACAGGATCTAGTCAGTCCCTTCCTTATTGCAGATCAGCTCTGTCAGATCAACTACTTCCAGTATTTACTGACTAATCTTACCACAGCATGTTGCCAAAAGCCAGTACAACATTCGGAAACCTCCACGCAAAGAGCTCCTTCCTGCCCAGAGAGATCCCCGAGGTGAGGGAGCCTCTGGGTCCCAGAGGAGCCGAAAGACACGGGGTCAGCGTTCCCTCCTCCCACACTCCAGCTCTGCAAAACTGACCTGGCTCCCCTCTGGAATGCTGGGCAATGAGTTGATGTAATCCCAAAATATTCACTGCTCAGGAATCCACCACTCGTAAGCAGTGAGGAAGCACGTGCAGCGCACACGAGCAAAGAGCCTTTTGGGAGGGAAATGACTGAAGAGTCTCCAACGTGTTCAACTCTCACTGCGGGACCCTCCTGCAGCCAGGACCCCCCAGCACTGCCAGTGCTTATGGCAAACATCACTTGGAAAGACAGAAGCAGTTTCACCACAGAGAAGCCCCTACCAAGGCATGGACAGCTTCCCAACTCCCGGTGTCACAGGACCGATCCCAACTGCACACAGCTCTTGTCTGGGGCTGGACAAATTTATTGCCCATCACATCCTTTTCCCTCAGGGAGGCAACACTGAAAAACAACCCCCAGCATCCCAGAGGCCCCTTCGGCCCCAAAAAGGCATCATGAACTCTGCACTTACCTGAAGAAAATCCCCATTTTTTGGTAAGAAGTCAGCGGGGTCCACAGTTGCATAGTTTGTATCCAATAATTGTGGTCTGCTGATGGAATCCGTATAAAAATCCTGAGGGAGGTTAAAATATTGCCTGTAAGGAAATGGTAGAAGCAGTTACTCCCTGTCAGCCCCCAGTACTTCATAGGCCACTTCAGCCTTCAGCAGTGGTGAGGCTGCAGCTCTGGGATGTCACTCACACACTTGGATAATATTGTGGATATTATCCAGAAAAGAGTTCAGAATGGAAGGGCTAGGGACAGGGAACCCCCCAGACAGAACTGCTACCCCAAGAGAGGAACTGGGGATGTGACTGATGTGAGTTCCAAGAAAAGATCTCTGCTGAACTAAGAGGGGAACAAAGCAAAGGTTTTGCCTGCTCCTGCTGGGCAGGGCCATGCCAGCTTCCTCCTGCACCCTGTGCCCAGCACCAGCTTCCTCTGGGCAGCCACAGGCCAGAACTGCACCAGAGTAGCCAATTCCCTCCCTCCTGGCCTCGGCTCCACACCACCTTAAGTTCCCTTAAGTTCCTGCACTCCTTGGGCAATCAGCACCCAACACCCTCCGTGCTGGAGCCACGGAACCCTCACCCCACCGCCTGCTTTCCTCCTCTGGAGAGCTGCATGTTCTCCCTGACGCCAGAGGCACAGAACCCCCGGCCACAGGAGGCACTGGGGGAGGGAGAAACAGAGCTTAAACAGAACTCCTGCCCAGGAGCTGGGAATGAGGAGTTGCCAAAGGACTATTAAGCAATTAAGGTGCCATGTGTAGCCAGCAGCTCATTAACTCACCCGCTGAACATTTACATGCGGATTTATGTGCAAACACAGTTATCTCCTCTGCTAAATACATTTTTCCTGCTCATTTTCTGTCATTAAAGATAATACCCTGAAAAACCAACAGCTCCCTACTCCTCCTTTCCTTTTTTGCTTTTTTTCCGTGCTGCCGCAGCTTTACCTGCTGCAGAGAGCCCATGTGAACACACCTGCACCTCCCAGCTCCCACAGTCCAGCCCCGCCTCTCAGCTCCTCTAATCCATCCAGGCAAATTAAAATCTGGGCATAAGTTCTGGGAATGGATGTATTTCCACACAGGAAGAGGCTGGTTTAAACGGCTTTCAAGTCGCAGCCGCTGCGGTCTCGCCGTCTCTCGCACGAGGACAGAGCTTGGCCAGCCTCAAGGAACTAACCAGGGAATGGGAACACTATTTTTACTGGAAAATTGAACACCCCCTCCTGTTTCCCTGGCACTTCATGGCCTGGACAAGGGTCAGTCAAGGTAACAGAGGGGAGCCCGAGAGCGTCCCAGCCTCCGTGGGCTGCCCTGCTGTGCAATCACCGGCCCTGGGTGGTATTTTCCTTCCCCTCATGTTGGTTTTCCAATGTGCCCATGTGAGATGCACTTTGTTCCTGCAGCCTGCAGTGAGAGCCCACAACAGCTCCAGGCACTGCTCCCAGGTCGTCCTCGGAGAGCCACCAAGTCCCTTCATACCTTTAGACCTGGCCTTTCCATTCCCCTCAGTCCCAAATGAAAGCTGTGCTGCCCTGTCCACACCTGCTCAGCCTCTCCGGGGTTTTCTTCCTGGCAAACTCTCTATGGAAGCAGCTTCCTTCAGAGGGAGAGCCAAGAGGCCACAGGCTGACTCAGCACCAGTCCAGCACTCTCCTTCCCCATCAGACACCAATCCAATTTCAGACCCTGCTCTGCTGTTCCAGCAAGACTCCACAGAGGTAGAAAAAGGCACGAAAATGGTGAGAAAAGGGGTCTTGTGTTTTAGCAACTGGAGAGAAAGCTTTGCTGGAGGTTTGAGAAACACCTTTTTGCAGTGTTTTTGGTGTGATACCTCATCCAACAGCACAACTGGGCTGTCCCAGATCCCCCCTGGCCGGGAAGGTGCAAGGGAAGCCCAGCTCTGTTGGGATAATTTCCTTACAAATCAACTGGGCTGCAGCTCTTTGAGGCCCCGAACCTCAGTGGTTCTTTTAGAGAGGTTTAATACACTGTTGACATTAGTCAGGTTAAGAAAATCTGAAGCAGAGAGGCCACGTTTGGGGTCTTCTAAAGAAATTCCCCACCATGAAAGCAAACTCCTGAAAAGAAACAGGAAAAACCTGCTTCAGGATAAAGGTGTTGCTATGAGAATAAACCCTGTCCAAACACAGCCGCCTGCAAATGAGATTTCTCTGCAAGGATTCTGAAGAGAAACGTGCACCACCTCTAAAGGCAGCTGCGTTTTTCTGTGTTACAGCATGGCCTATGATTACAACTGCCCTTAAAATGCCATCTTTCAATGATTTCAGGATCCCTAACCCTAAATCCACCTGAAACAGAGTCAGTGCAGTTTTCAAGTACAGAGAGCACAGACTTTTTCAATGTGAAAGGCAGGTATGGAAAATCTCACCTGAAAGGTGATTTTTACAGTTCTCAGGCTACGAAGAACAGGGCACTAAAGGTGCAGCTTTGGCTAAATCATTCCCTAGCAAACAATTACTACAATGAGCCTCACTTCCAGAGGTAACTCCAGCAAAGCAAGCCCAGGTGTGTGTCAGACACAGGCATGTCCCTGCAGGATCGGGCTGAAACGTTCCCGGCAGCGCCGACATGAGCGGCACCCAACAGGAAGAGAGCGAGGGGCAAAACCAGAACAAATGGTCAAGGAGAAAACCCCAACACAATAGACAAACACAATCTAATCTTGTGGTTCAATGCAGCAAAACAGAAATTCTGTTATAGCTCTCCGGAGGATTCAGGATGTGTAATTTACAGGAATCCTGCTCAAAAAGCACGGCCCCTTCCCATCAGCGCCGGCCGGCCCAGAGCAAAAGGCCCGAGCGCAGCTGGGAACTCCTCTCCTGTTCTCCTGTGGGGAGGAGCTGGCACAGCTCAGCTCCCTCAGCACCTGTGGCGCAGCTTCCTGGGACCCTCCTGTCGGGAACTGCCCTGTCCATCCCCCCAGCGCTGCCAGGCAGCTCCCGCCACAGCCGGGGGGACCAGGGGCACCACAACCCAGCTGGAGACACAGCACACCTCATCCCCCAAACAGGGGCTGATCCTCACTGACAGCCAGCCAAACTCACACCCTCACAGGGAGGGATCTCTGCTTTTCCATGAACACGCCAAAATCCCTCTAAACTAAATCCCTGCTTTAATTCCAGGCACCTGGAGCACAGTTATTAGCTCATGATACGAGTTCTGCTTCTTTCATTTTTCGTTCCTCCCACCTCTGACCCAGATAAAGAACACATCCTGTGTATCCATGCCACTCCCTGGATTCACAGAGACCGAAGAACAGCCATGGACCAGCCTCCAAACCTGCCCCACAAACAGCATCTCCAGCCCCAACAGTCCCCATCCAAGTCACTCAGTGGTGGCACAAGGCCAGTCTGTATTGTCCAAACATCTGCCATATCCCACCATCCATCCAGGATGGAGTTTCATCAGGAAGGGGGGAAAGGGAAAACAACGTTTATTGTTATGCAAAAATCCCTCCAAAAATGCTGTTTTGAGCAGGTAATCTAGAAACAGTTTTGCTCTGGATCCAGCAAGCCCGTGGCTGACGTCCTTCCCAGCAGAGCCACTGCCACTCCCCCAAGGGTTCCTAAACCCACCACACTGCCCAGCACTGAGCTGTGCTGCCCACAGGGCAGCTTTAGCTCAGAGTCAGTCACAGTTTCTCACGGGAGCCCACACACCTCACCTCACACCTTGTGGGGTGAGGTCACCGCAGCACATCAGTCAGAACCAGAGCAGAGTCACAACCCCCGATGAACTCCGGGCTGAGCACGTTTTTTTTCAGCACATTCTCGATATGGTAGTTGGTGTCAGTCACTTCCAGTGATGTGGCAAAGAATTCTAACTTCACCCAAAACTTGAACATCTTCCTCCATGTCTGTACAAAGGCAGGGACTGCCCACTGTGTTCCCTCTGCCAGACTGTGCTCATGGGGTGTTTTTAAAATTCCATTAGTGTAACAAATCCAAGCTAAAGCAAGGCTGTTCCCCTTTTACTGCAGCCTCCAGGTTTACCAGAAATCAAAGGTTTTCTCTTGTTTTTTAAAACAAAAAGCTGTTTGCTGTTGTTTCCAAGCTGCAACAGTGTATGAAACGCCACGAGATCGGTGAGTGATGCAATTATTTCCCCATCAAATCGTGAAATAAAGTAAACAAGGAAAACACTAAAGAAACAGTTGAATCACGGGATGTGCAAGAGCAGAGGGGATTAGACAAAGGAGAACAGCACTCACTGGTTTTCACTTGGGAAGGACGAGGTTGGGAAAGAGGCAGAGTAGCAGCTACTCCATGAGTTGGCGGCCAGCATGGAATTCTGCAGGGAGAAACCACAACAGTTAGAGCAGCAGGGCCTGGCACCGTCACCTGCGGCTGCAGATCCAAAGCAGGCCCGTGGCTTCCCTCCCTCAGTGCCTTCCAGAGGCAGAGGTGGCTCCTCATCTCGTGAGTAGGAGACAGAGGGCTACTCTCCAGTTCCAGCTTTGGAACCTACTTCCCTATCACTGTCTCCAGAGGGTCACCAGGGTCAATCCCCTGCTTCAGGCCATCCACTCAGTCAGGATCCACTCATTCAAATGCTCCTCCAACAGGACAGGAGGAAATGGCCTCAAGGTGTGCCAGGGGAGGGTTAGGTTGGACATCAGGAGGGATTTCCCCATGGAAAGGTGGTCAGGCAGTGGAAGGGGCTGCCCAGGGAGGTTTGGAGTCCCCAGCCCTGGAGGTGTCCAAGGAAGGACTGGCCGTGGCACTGAGTGCTCTGGGCTGCAGGACAAGGTGGGCATCGGGCACAGGGTGGACTTGATGACCTTAGAGGTCTTTCCAACCTCAGTGATTCCATGATTCTATGATTCAGTCTCTGTGGGAAGCCAGCACTAACCCAGTAACCTGAAATCGGCTGACAGAGGTCACACCCAAAAACGTCCTTCTGAGCCTTTGCCTTCCCCCTTCCCTGAACAGTGTCCAACATTAACGGGAAGCTTTTAGCTCAGCTCATACCAATGAAATCAGGGAGAGAACACAGTATCTCCTTACTCAGCTCCAGAGCAGCCTTTCATCTGCCCTTTGTGTGCCCAAAGCACTGAAATCTTGTGCTTGAAGCAACAGGCACTTGGGTCTCGCTGGAACCTCTGCTGTTCCTGCATGTGACATACTCCAAAGTTAGAAAGAGAAAACTGCAGGAACACGTCAGCTATTTTGGGACAGGGGTTTGCTTTTTGCCCTGTTGGACAAGGGCATCAGGGACCTGGTCCGGTTTTAGCAGTTGCATCAGGACAAACACAACTTATTTATCTCTGCTGCTCTGGAAACAGGCACAGCTGGACCCAGGCACAGGTTCACACGTCTCAGAGGGACAAGCAGGAGGAGGAACGAGGTCTGCAATCTCAGGTACCCTCTTCAGTCCTTCCCCAGGGAGCTGGCACCCAGCAGCTTTCAGAGAGCCCTTGTTTTTAATCACAGCCCCGCTTCAAAGCCAGCAGACACAGCAGACAGCCTCACCTCAACCCCTCCGATTGATCCTGCACAGCCCTGGACAGCTGCCTGGAAAGTCTGGGAAACCGCTGCTCTAAGTGTGCCCCAGGGCTCCCAGGACCTGCCCAGACCCCTCCCGGGGACACCCCTTCCCCAGGACTGCGCGGCCTCACCTCCATGTCCGGCAGGGCGAGCTGGGAGCGGAGGCCGGGGATGCCACACAGGGCATCGCCCGGCTGCTGGTGCTGCGGGAAGCTGTTCCCCCCCTCCATGGCGGGGTGAGCTGAGGGCATCAGCCCGTGTCCTGCCGCATGGAGCCCTCGGGACGGCGGGACGGGCTCTGCAGTGAGCGCTGGGAGGGTCTTTATCTGTGCTCTTCACCCTGCACCATGTCCCGGGCTGGGAAAGAAAGGCACGTTTAGGTTTTATGGAAGAGGAGGGGGAAAGAACGAGACTCGTAAGCCCAAACATAGCTGAGAGATGGGTAAACAGCCACCAGCCTGTGAAATGCTCCTGCCTCTTCAGAAAAGAGAGGTTTTTCTGGGAAACAGAGATCTCCACTACCACCACACCTGGAATCCACCCAGCCAGGAACTGAGACACACCTCTCCTGCCTTTCACACTGCGGCAGGTCCCCCCGACCACCTGGATCGCTGCACACACCCCCGAGGCCAGCCAGAGGAATTTTCTCGTCTAATGTACAGAAAGACTCTGCACTTGTGTGCAAACTCAAGGCAATCAGTTCTCCCAAACTGCCCGTTTTCCTGAAAATAGGCTCCTGTCCCAGGGACACCACACTGAGGCAGGAGTGAGCCCTCATCTCCCACCCTGCAGCACCGAGGCCTCCCAAACCCCACGGCAGATGTTACTGTGCACCAGCACTTCCCACACCAGTCAAACCCAACAACACACTGTTACACTTTTTAGGTTAATTGTATTTATGTTACAAATCCCAGAATTTATCAGCTCCTGGCACTGTCCCTCTTGCAGCAATGTGGGATCTCAGGCTCACACCTGCCAACCCAGGATCATTGTCCTGGCAGGATTGACCCCTCGCTGCCTCTGCCACAGCTTCTCAGTCTAAACCTCCCAATGATTACTTTTTTTCACTAAACTCTCCATAATCCCAAAGGAAACCAACTTCCCATTGGATTTAATGGGTTTAAAAAAAAAAAAAAGACAGTGAAAGCAACCTATACAACCAGAGGAGCAGAGAAAAGCATCTGTGATGCCTTTACTTCTTTCTTTGCCTTCTTTGTGCCTCCCCTGACCCTGTCCCTCCCCAGAAGCCAAGGAAATCAAAGTGGCCAACACCTTCTGAGGGAGAATCCAGCCACACACAACACCTACAGAGCACAGACCGAAGCTGTAATTTAAGAGAGCCACCTTTGATCACTGGGAAGACACTGTTTGCTCAGGGAGTATTTTTGAAAAGCCATTTCTGAGTCAGAGGCCCTTTAAAAATAATTGACCTTCCAGTGAATGAAATGGTTGCTGCCTTTGCAATGGAAAGTTAAATTAAAGGGACTCTTTCTTCCCTTCTGTGGTGCTGCAGCCGTGCCAGCAGTGCCCCACGGGCAGGGCTCGTGTGGGGACCAGCCAGGACCCCCAAGCCTGGACGCCGATCCCGTGGTGGGAATGGCAGGCAAAGCCCCCACGCTCTGGGGACCTTCTGGGTGAAGAGCAGAGACCCAGGGTCACGTCCCGCCTATCAAGTGCTGTGTAGAGCCCCCAGAGGCATTGTTTGGGGTTTTTTTGGAGGGGAAGGTGTCCCTTTTCCTTTTTTAATGACTCCCTTTAACTCCTGCTCAGCTGCTCCCAAGCATGGGCTGAGGTTTGCTGACCCCAGGGTCAATGTCACCGACTGGTCCAGAGGCACTGATGTCCTCTGGTGCCTGTAAAACCCTATGACTCTTCCTTACACCAGACTTCAAGGGCTTGGCTGCTTTTCTTTTTTGTTTTTTCCCTATTTGTAACAGTTTTTGATAGGAAATCAGCAGCAATGATTCCCGTAAGAGCCGTAACAAATACACAGCTTTACTTACACATCCAGAGGAACTTGGGAAGGGTAAAATCAATACCAGAATCTCTGCGTTCGTGCTCTACATTAGCTCATGTCTCACACCACCAGATCTCACTCGTGGACTCTGCAGAGCAGAGCCTGTCCCTAAAACAGCACCAGTTCCTTGGGAACACTCCTGTGCAAAAGATCATATCCCATTGGCAAAAGGAAGGAAAGCTGCTTAGCAAGAGAGCTGGAATGCTCTGGCCCTTGGTTTGTGCCTGTCCCACCATCCTCCAGGCAGCCACGTCACGGAAAACCACGAAAATCGGCGAGTTCCAAAGCGCTTCCACTTCCACCTCCCGTCCTGCCGCCCTGCCAACAAACACCGATAACACGGAGGCCCCGCACGCGAGGGAACCGCTACAGCAAACTTCTCCAGTGTCGCTCCACCAGTTCTCTTACCAAAAACTCTCCACCAAAGCAGCAGCTTCCACCAGGAAGCAAACCAGCGGAGAGGAGGCTGCTGTTTGGAGAGGGCTGGGGGAGGAGAGGAGAGCCGAGCCCACAGAGCAGCACCAGCAGCACGCGCAGACGGTCCCCACCTCCAGCGACTCCTGTCACGTTTCCCTGCGAGTGGCACTGAGGAACAGCCCCGACCTCCCCCCGGATCAGAGGGGTGGCCCCAAAATCCCACCGGACCTGCTCCTTCCCGGCCGAGCAGCCCAGGTCTGAAAGTGAAA